CATCTGTATGGAGAGGGGAGACTGGAGGATGATAAGGCAGGAGCGGTGGAACGATGGGAGAAGGGGATGTTCAGAACGTGTGTGTGATCTTGAGAGCGTAGTGGATGAAAGGCTGATGCATGCCACGCAGGTGGTTGTAGGAATAGCCACAAGTTCAACAAGAAAGAGGTTGTATAAAGAAGTTTCGAGGGTAACGATGGTGAACAGGATAGAAGGTTATGATCAAGAGTCTGAAGTTGGAAAGGTTGTTAGGTCTTGGACAGTAGGACTGTTCCTCATAACAAGGCGTTTATGAGTAACTGTGGTAGGACAGAGGTGAACATCTCTTAGGAGTTAAGCAACTGTGAAGGCAGGCTACTGGCAAGGTTAACAGTTTAACCTACACTGACTATTCTCTATAGCCGTTACTCCTCAAGTCTGAATGAGATAGTTATGTTATCTACAAGAGTCATACAAGCAGGCTTTGCCATCTCTTTAAAGCCTGATATACAGGGATAAACTTTACCTGAAAATTACAGATATTAAAGTCCTCATTCTCCCTTCTCATTTTTTTTGTTTGTTACCAAAACAATTCACATCCCATAATAACCAATCAATTTTTTGTTTGGAGATAGAAAATTTTAGGCATTTCCAATTTAGGCTTAAATATTCTAGGTGTATCTTGTTGGGTAACACTTTAAGATCCATTGATACTTTTCCCCTAAAATTAAAAATAAATTCCAGGCCGGGTGTGGTGGCTGACGCCTGTAATCCAAACACTTTGGGAGGCAGATCACTTGAGGTCAGGAGTTCGAGACCAGCCTGACCAACATGGTGAAACCCCATCTCTACTAAAAATACAAAAATTAGCTGGGTGTGGTGGCGTGTGCCTGTAATCCCAGCTACTCAGGAGGCTGAGGCAGGAGAATCACTTGAACCCAGGAGGTGGAGGTTGCAGTGAGCCGAGATCATGCCACTGCACTCCAGCCCGGGCAACAGAGTGAGACTCTGTCTCAAAATAAAGAAATAAATAATAAGTAAATTCTACATTCAATACATTTTGTGGAGTAGCTGAAGAAGAGCTGCCTAGCCTTAATTTTCAGAGTGGGCGGTAAACATATCCCCTTGAAGGGAAATTGATTACCTGGAAGAAGGTGTTTTCATTCTAAAAACCTTTTAAACAAAAGAGCCAGAGTTGGGGGCTGGGAGTCGGGGGTTTCTGTTGAAATTAGACAAGTTCAGCTACGGAATTTAACAAGTTCCGTGTGTTACTAGATACGGCATTTAACACATTCCATATGGAATTTAACAAGTAGGAATTAAACCAGTTCAGAATGACGTTGAGAGGCAGAGAAGAAGCTGAATGCTAGCCCTCTGCTTTTCCGGAGTTGTCCTGAAGAAGCAAGGGCATGGCGTGACAATTGGTAGATGACGGATAGGATGGTGTAATCTGCTAATGTGAACACGGAGAAGAAAGTTTGTGCTTAATTCAGCAGGCAAATCTTTTGAGCGGTCTAGAAATGCAGTCAGAACTGGCTAGGATGTGTTGGAGGGGGAATGGTTAGAAGTTGGGAGAACGCTACACTGAACAAAGTAAGAGGTTCCTTTGTGAATGTTTCCTTTGGGGAGTTTTAATTTAGATCACTGATATCTTGTCTTTTCTGCTGCCATTTTTTTTACAGTTATATGCTTTATGTTAGAGGATGGTAGAAAGATTCCCTTACTTCATTACGTTAATAAGTATCTATTAAGCCCTCTGCCCTTTAAGAACTTGAGAGGTAGTTCCATTTCTGAAGCTGATTTCCTGTGTCAGATGGGAACACCATGGTACCATCTCTGATTTGTTCATTGCCCTGGCATGGAGTAGATGTTGACGAATTAATACATAACAAAAGATGGCAAGGAACCTAAAAGGAAATGCCTTTTCTTAGCTATTCTAAGCAATTGGTTTACCTTTGGGATAGTCATTTTGCAAGGAAACTTCTGTTGTAGATAGATACATGCATTGCCTTAGGGAAGTACTGCTGAGAAGTGGTATTTGCTGGAAAGAAGGAGAGATGAAGAGAGTACATCTGGATGGATGAAGAGAATACAGATTTTTTTTTTTTTTTTGAGATGAAGTTTCGCTCTTGTTGCCCAGGTTGGAGTGCAATGGCATGATCTCGGCTCACTGCAACCTCCACCTCCCAGGTCCAAGCGATTCTCCTGCCTCAGTCTCCCAAGTAGCTGGCATTATAAGCATGCGCCACCACGCCCAGCTAATTTTTGTATTTTTAGTAGAGATGGGGTTTCTCCATGTTGGCCAGGCTAGTCTCAAATTCCTGACCTCAGGTGATCCGCCCACCTTGGCCTCCCAAAGTGCTGAGATTACAGGCATGGGCCACCACACCAGGCCTAGAATTTTAAAAGTATCCAATCTTTTAGAAGCCAAATAAAAATATGTTCAAGTTACTTTTCACAGTTCAGTGATAATTGAAACTCATTCTACCTGTAAAATCTGTACTCTCACTGGGCATATTGGTGTGTGCCTGTAGTCCCAGCTACTCCGGAGGCTGAGGCAGGTGGACCGCTTGAGCTCAGAAGTTAGAGGCTGTAGTGCGCTATGACTGAGCCTGTGAATAGCCACTGCACTCCAGCCTGGGCAACACAGGGAGACTTTGTCTCTAAAAAAAATAATAATAATAATCTGAGGCCGGGCGCAGTGGCTCACACCTGTAATCCCAGCACTTTGGGAGACCGAGGTGGGCAGATCACGAGGTCAGGAGATGGAGACCATGCTGGGTAACAGGGTGAAACCCCATCTCTGCTGAAAATACAAAAAATTCACCAGGCGTGGTGGCTGGCGCCTGTAGTCCCAGCTACTTGGTAGACTGAGGCAGGAGAATGGTGTGAACTCGGGAGGCAGAGCTTGCAGTGAGCTGAGATTGCGCCACTGCACTCCAGCCTGGGCGACAGAGCAAGACCCTGTCTAAAAACAAAACAAAAAATCAAATCTGGCCGGGCGCAGGCACATTATGCTTCAGCAGGACATTTTATAAATCTGTAGCACTGAAAGGTATCTTTTAATAAGCTAGTAAACCCCCATTTCATCACACTTCTTCATAAATGTCTAGTACCTGAGTAACTGCAAATGAAATTCTCATTCACTAAGGATATTTTGGAAATAATAGCAGTGATGCCCTTTATGTCATCTTAGTGATGTCCTTTATGTCATCTTACAGTCAATCACAGATATTGGTAAAAATGAAAACATCTAGTAGTTATTGAGTGCTGAACTAAGCAGTTTGCAAGAAACTCTTCTTATGCAGTAGTTTCTACTGTATGGCTAACTAAGGAATTTGAGGCATAGACTGGTCGTTAGGTAACTTGTCCAAAGTCCTATGGTGAGTGACTGGGCCAGGATTTGAATCCAGGCAGTGCGGTTCCAAAGCCTCTGTTCTTGGCTGTGATGTTGTGCTGCCAATTTTTACTCATTTCCTCACCTGTGTGTTATACCCCTATAGAGCCTCTGGATCATAAGGATTATTGTAATTAATAAAGACAATGCTAAGCTTCCCAAGGATCTTCTGGAACATCTCGGTAGGAGATTATATTACTAAATGAAAGCAGCATGACATATTTGGTTTTTCTTTTTCACAGCCCAGCCTTATAATTCCCATATCTGAAGAAACATTTTTTAGAATATGAATCCTGTCTTTTATCCGCTGTTTTGTATGGTGACTAAAAATCTGTTCATATAAAAACACATGTTCATGTAAAAACACGATGACGAACTATGGTGTATATAGTGGAAATACTTTTTACCCTAAGTACACTTTTGGTATGTTTATCTCTAGTAGAAACCAACATTGGGATGAAAGAGGGGAAGTAAAGAACAAAATTCAAGAAAGCCATTTCTTTTCTGAGACAGAGTCCCATCTGTCGCCCAGGCTAGAGTGCCGTGGCGCAATCTCAGCTCACTACAACCTCTGCCTCCTGGGTTCCAGAGATTCTCCTGCCTCAGCCTCCCTAGTAGCTGGGACTACAGGCACCTGCCACCACGCCCAGCTAATTTTTTTGTATTTTTAGTAGAGACGCGGTTTCACCATGTTGGCCAGGTTGGTCTTGAACTCCTGACCTTGTGATCCGCCCACCTCACCCTCCCAAAGTGCTGGGATTACAGGCATGAGCCACTGCTCCTGGCCAAGAAAGCCATTTCTAACGTTGATAGTTACTTCTGAATTTTTACCGACTTAAATAATTTAAGTAAGGAGACATTTAACTATGGGCCTCTTGTCTAAAGCTGATGTAATGATAGGAGAGTTATCAGATCAAATTATTTGACTACATTTGCTCAAAATTTGTGATTTCTTTCCCTAACTCCCTCTGAAGTATAGTGTTTTATATTTATCTCTTAAGTTCTAAAAAGAGAGGAACTTGAAAGGGACTGTTTAAGAAAGGCACAATTAAACTGATTAGAGAAATGTTAAGAACTCACCCAGAGGCCGGGCGCGGTAGCTCAAGCCTGTAATCCCAGCACTTTGGGAGGCCGAGACGGGCGGATCACGAGGTCAGGAGATCGAGACCATCCTGGCTAACATGGTGAAACCCCGTCTCTACTAAAAAATACAAAAAAACTAGCCGGGCGAGGTGGCCGACGCCTGTAATTCCAGCTACTCGGGAGGCTGAGCCAGGAGAATGGCGTGAACCCGGGAGGCGGAGCTTGCAGTGAGCAGAGATCTGCACACTGCACCCCAGCCTGGGCGACAGAGCCAGACTCCGTCTCAAAAAAAAAAAAGAACTCACCCGGAAAGGAAGATTAATGGTAATTTTTTCACTTTTGCGTTAAAGCTGATGTTTGGATGTGACATAGGCCTAACAAGTAGCCTTGAGATATAGGAGGTGATTTCCTTGTAAGGATGAGGAAATGGAGAGAGAGCTCGTCCAAAGTGAACCAATACTGGAGTAAGAAAGCCAGCAGTGTAATGTGTGTCTTTGAATTCTCAATCCCTGAACACTAAACTTTCCCTAATTTATTTTAGGATGAAGAGAAAGTTCTATTCTTGGGATGAGTGCATGAACTTGAGAGAAGTTAAGGTAAAATCCTAAAGATGAAAAGAACCTGGAAGGCCTTAAGGCTACCTGAGGATAGTAGTTAAGATTATTTTATTCTCTGTGGGAAGCATTCTGAAGATAATTGGGTTTGTTTTTCCTTTATATTCCTAAATTAATTTCTCATTTCTTTTGGTTCTGATGTCAGTGGAGAACAGAATATAATTATAACCTCACATTTGAAAGGTCACTTTCACTTTTAAGAGAGCATCTTAAAATCATATTATGCAAAGACAACTTTTCTTTTCTTTTCTTTTTTTTTTTTTTTTTTTTGAGACAGAGTCTTACTCTGTCACCCAGACTGGAATGCAGTGGCATGATCTCTGCTCACTGCAACCTCCACCTCCTGGGTTCAAGCGATTCTCCTGCCTCAGCTTCCGTAGTAGCTGAGACTACAGGTGTGTGTCACTATGCCCGGCTAATTTTTGTATTTTTAGTAGAGACAAGGTCTCACCATGTTGGCCAGGCTGGTCTCGAACTCCTGACCTCAGGTGATCCGCCCACCTCAGCCTCCCAAAGTGCTGAGATAGCAGACATGAGCCACCGCGCTTAGCCACCAAAGACATCTTTTTAAATTACTACATACAATTTCCTTAGATTTTATGCTTAAAGACTTGGATATAATTTTGGATACCTTTGCATGGTTAAGTCAGACAAAAGTTAGACCTATTTATAAACCAAGGGAAAAATGTAACAGATTGAAATGTATAATAGCCATTGCTGGCTTGATTTATTGTTTGCACTTAACGTTCATTACTTAAAGCAATTATGGAGATATTAAAATGTAATTAATTAATGAACCCAGGAGAAATGGAAAATTACGTAATTATACTTAGCATTGATACGATTTTGCCAACTTTTATAAGTTTTTTAAAGAAATTTTAATGCGTGTTTGTTATTTTTCAGTCTCTGAAGAAACTTAATCATGCCAATGTTATTAAATTAAAAGAAGTTATCAGAGAAAATGACCATCTTTATTTTATATTTGAATATATGAAAGAAAACCTCTATCAATTAATGAAAGACAGGTATGTTTTTATTCACATTTTTCCCTGTTATTCCCTCCATGAGTTCTTTTGATCCTTTCAATATGTCATACTTTATGAGATAAAAATTGATCACTGCAAAAGGTAAATTTAAATTAACTAGTTCTGTTACCTTTATCAAAGGGTAACATTTAACACTGAAGAAGAACCAGCTGTGACATAGCCAGCATCTTTCTGTTGTAAATCCTTGAAAGTGAAGGCCAGTATCTTATATAAATACACATACTATCTATCTATGCTTTTTAAAATACTAATTTATGTATAGTTTAGTACTCAGTAATAAAGCTGGCCTTGGGCACTGTTGAGAAAATTATCTTGCTTGCTCTCCCAAGCATCTTGTGAAGGTTGATGAAAGAATGGAGAAAGGAATGAAGTTGCTTTCAAGAAAGGATCTAAAAAATTCATTCAGTAGAATGCACAAGTCAATGATAAGACTTGGTGTGTTACCAATTCCAAGGAAATTCACAATTTTTAAATATGTGTGGGCAGAGTCTGTACAGGGAGAGCTTCAGTCTTCCGCCCTGGGCTCGGGGAGATAATGTTTTAAAGGTTGTTCTGGTCACATCTGGGAGATTAACATCCATTTTGCCTGCTTTTAAAGTGAGAAATGTTCAACAAAAAACCCTGAAATACTTAAAAATAATTTTCCAAAATAATGATGTTGATTTCTCTCTGTTTCTTTCACACACACACACTCACTCTCACTCAAGGTCTGAGGATGTTACGTGAATTCTTCTTTAATCATATTTTTCCCTTTCTCAAAACATATTTATTGAATGCCTCTTATGTTCCAGGTCGAAATCATTATAACATTAATATCAATTAAAATAAAAGTAAATTTCTGCCCCTCAAATCAGTTTTTACTTTTCTAAAGTCCCTTCTAGGCCTTGTATATAGACATGCACGCCTTTGTACTTGTAATTTCAGTGGGACAAAATTTTTTATTTGATTCATTTACTTACAAGTATTTTTTATGTGGATATGTAGTCTTTATAGTTACTATAAATAATATATTCTGTTAAATGTCTGTACTAAGCTTTACTTTTTGAACTATTTAAAATAAATAACTATCAGTGCAAAAATAGGTTGGTAATTATTGTATATAATATTGATGGAATTATTACCATTAAAGGTGATAATTATAAGGATTGTGAAAATGCTTCCAAGTGGAAAAAACAAACGAAATTGCGTGTATGTGACATTCATTCCTAATATAAAAGTTATGCATGCAAATGAATTAGGACTGGATTAGAATACTGAAAAATTAAAAAAGTTTCTTAATCATGTGGAATTATCAGTAATCTTAATTTTCAGCCTCTAATAAATTTTTTCCTGTAAAATATTGAAATGATATATACGTACATGAAATATCAAGATACACTTGTTGAAGAAAAAAATGGAATACATAAATGCATGAAATATTAAATTTTTGTCTATTTTTGAAATATATATAAATCTGGCTGGATGTGGTAGTTCCTGTCTTTAATCCAGTACTTTGGGAGACTGAGGTGGGAGGATCACTTGAGCCCAGGAATTTGAGACCAGCCTGGGCAACATAGTGAGACTCCGTCTCTACAAAAAAATTAAAAAAATTAGCCAGGCATGGTGGCACACACCTGTAGTCCTAGCTACTTGGAGGCTGAGGTGAGAAGATTGCTTGAGCCTAGGAGGTTGAGGCCATCCATAATCCCAGCCACTCAGGAAGGTGAGACAGGAGAGTTGCTTGAACCTGGGAAGCCAGCTAATTTTTGTATTTTTAGTAGAGACAGGGTTTCACCATGTTGGCCAGGAGGCAGAGGTTGCAGTGAGCCAAGATTGCCACTGCACTGCAGACTGGGCAACAGGGCAAGACTCCATCTCAAAAAAAAAAAAAAATACATATATATATGTGTATATATATATGTATTTTTTATATATAGTATTATATATGCATTATATATGTATATATAGAGAGAGAGAGTATAGAGCTACACTAATACAGTAGCCACTAGTCAGATGTGGCTAGCTCCTGAAATGTTTGCATTGAGGAGTGTTGTAAATGTAAAATAAATTACACATCAGATTTTGAAAACTTGGTACAAAAGAGAAAATGTCTTAATAATTTTTGTATTTTTTTTACTCCAGGGTTGGTGACTCACACTTGTAATCCCAGCACTTTGAGAGGCCAAGGCGGGAGGATTGCTTGAGCCCCAGGAGTTTGAGTCCAGCCTAGGCAACATAATGAGACCATGTGTCTCTCTTCTTTTCAGAGACAAAGTCTCACTCTTTTACCCTGGCTGGAGGGCCGGAGTGCAGTGGTGCAAACATGGCTCACTGTAGCCTTGACCTCTCCGGCTCCAGCAATTCCCCTGCCTCAACGAGGCCCCAAGTAGCTGGGACTACAGGCACGCGCCACCACGCCTGGCTGATTTTTATATTTTTAGTAGAGCCAGGGTCTCACCATGTTGCCCAGGCTGGTCTCGAACTCTTGAACTCAAGGGATCCACCTGCCTTGGCCTCCCAGAGTGCTGGGATTACAGGCGGGAGCCACCGCACCCAGCCCGTGTGTCTTTTTCAAAAAACAAAAAAAAGGTAAATTTTTAAAATAAATAAATAATTTAAAAAAAATTTTTTTTTAGAGGCATGGTCTTGCTCTGTCAGCCAAGCTGGGGTATAGTGGTGCAGTCAGCTCATTTTTATATTGATTACATGTTGAAATAATATTTGGCACATATTAGGTTAAATATATTGTTAAAAATTAATTTTACCTGTTTGATTTCTTTTAACACGGCTGCTAGAAAAATGATGTTAAGTACACAAGTAGCTCTTATATATATTTCTTTCTTTTTTTCGCGGGGGATGGAGTCTGACTCTTTCGCCCAGGCTGGAATGAAGTGGTGTGATCTCAGCTCACTGCAGTCTCCGCCCACTGGATTCAAGCGATTCTTCTGCCTTAGCTTCCTGAGTAGCTGGGATTACAGACATATGCTGTCACACCCAGCTAATTTTTATATTTTTAGTAGAGATGGGGTTTCACCATGTTGGCCAGGCTGCTCTTGAACTCCTGACCTCAGGTGATCCACCCACCTCGGCCTCCCAAAGTGCTAGGATTACAGGCATGAGCCACTGTGCCCAGCCAGCTCTTACATTTCTATTGGACAACACCAATATGCAGAATATAACTGAAGCATTTATTTATATCTCTAACTTTATTTATTTTTTCCTTTTTTTTTGAGACAGGATCTCACTCTGTCACCATGCTGGTGTGGAGTGGCACAATCACAGCCCACTGCAGCCTCGAACTCCCAGGCTCAAGTGATCCTCCCACCTCAGCCTCTGCAGCAGCTGGACTATAGGCCTGCGCCCCCACACCTGACTAATTTTTGTATTTTTTGTAGAGACAAGGTTTCACCATGTTACCCAGGCTGGTCTTGAACTCTTGGACTTAAGCGATCCTCCCACCTTGGCCTCCCAAAGTGCTTGGGATTATAGGCATGAGCCACCGCACCCGGCCACCTCTAAAATTCTTGAAGCCTACATAATACAGATTCGATGCTTGGCTTATCTGTTAGTAATTCAGTTTTTCAACTTGCTTTGCTCTTCTTGGAACAGTTTAAAATTCAGCTAGTTAGGCCGGGCACGGTGGCTCACACCTGTAATTCCAGCACTTTGAGAACCCGAGGTAGGCAGATCACCTAAGGTCAGGAGTTCAAGACCAGCCTGACCAACATGGTGAAACCCCATCTCTACTAAAAATACAAAACCAGGCATCATGGTGCATGCCTATAATCCCAGCTACTCAGGAGGCTGAGGCAGGAGAATTGCTTGAACCCGGGAGGCGGAGGTTGCAGTAAGCCTAGATTGTGCCATTGCACGCCAGCCTGGGTAACAGAGAGCAAAACTCTGTCTCAAAAAATACATACATATATACATATATATTTTATATGTGTACAATATATTCAGTTTTGGATTTGAGTTTTTACCTCACATCAAAACAAAAAAAATCTAATTTTCATGTTTTAAATGTATGATCTTTAACACTATAAATCTGTGAATCACACCTTTAACCAGTATCGTGAGGCCAGTAGAGGCTCCAAGGCAGGGGGAATATAATCTTTCTTTGGATTGGTTGGCTGGTTGCTTAACAGAATTATGTGACTGTTCATTTCTTTACAGAAACAAGTTGTTCCCTGAGTCAGTCATCAGAAATATTATGTATCAAATATTGCAAGGGCTGGCTTTTATCCATAAACATGGTAGGTTTCTTTTAAGTTTCATTTCCCTACCTCTTTAGATTACTGTCGAGATTGTGCATAGAAATTACTTATAAAACTGTTAAATAACTTTATATTGGATAACTATGAATTTGGGGTATGTGCCTTTACACACGGACATTTTAATTTTAAAACTTTATAATTTCTGTGATTCTATATAAAATGGAATTTCTGGCTGGGCACGGTGGCTCACGTCTGTAATCTCAGCACTTTCGGAGGCCAAGGCAAACAGATCACCTGAGGTCATGAGTTTGAGACCAGCCTGGCCAACATGGTGAAACCCCGTCTCTTCTAAAAAAATACAAAAATTAGCCAGGCATGGTGGCAGGCGCCTGTAATCCCAGCTACTCAGGAGGCTGAGGCAGGAGAATTGCTTGAACCCAGGAGGTGGAGGTTGCAGTGAGCTGAGATCATGCCATTGCACTCCAGCCTGGGCAACAGAGCGAGGCTCCATCTAAAAAAAAAAATATATATATATATATATATATATGTGTGCGTGTGTATATACACACACACATATCGGGCCGGGCTCACACTTGTAATCCCAGCACTTTGGGAGGCCGAGGTGGGTGGATCACCTAAGGTCACCACATCTCTACTAAAAATATAAACAATTAGCCAGGTTGGTGGCATGCGCCTATAATCCTGGCTACTTGAGAGTCTGAGGCAGGAGAATCACTTGAACCCAGGAGGCAGAGATTGCAGTGAGCTGAAATCATGCCATTGCACTCCAGCCTGGGCAAAAAGAATGAAGTTCCATCTCGAAAAATAAATAAATAAATAAAATAGAATTTCTATAATGTATAATTATCTTCCACCATAGCAGAGTTTTTTAACAGTTTAATCATCGTCAGCCTTTAGTCTCAATCATCACATACCCGTCCTGTAACCTCATCCCCCTAATTTTATCATGGAAATGAAAAAAAACAAAGGACCCTCTTTTGGAAAAGATTCGACTCTTTTGATCTAGCATGACCAATTATTAACATGTAAATAGCTTGTAGCACCCGTGGAGCCATGTTTTATAGTTTTCCTTAGTATTTACTTTTATTTGTTTCTATTCTGTGAATGGAAATTAAAGCAAGTATTAATACTTGTTCTATTTTCTATGAATTATGTACTTTGATTAATGTAGTTTTTCATATCTGTCAAACCAAAATAATTATTAATCCAAAAAGTTAATATGATTTTTTTAAAAAACATTTGTTTAGAATCACTGGATGTTTAGATATTAAATTAGAACGTTTATCCCGTACCATTGCCGTGTTCTGAACATAGGCACTCAAAAATCACCGTTAGTTTCCTTTCATGTCTCTTCCTGTATTTTTTTTTATTATTGTTATTATTTGAGACAGGATCTCACTCTGATGCCCAGGCTGGAGTCCAGTGGTGCCATCATGGCTCACTGCAGCCTCTACTTCCTCGGCGCAGTTGATCCTCCCACCTCAGCCTCCCTAGTAGCTGGAACTACAGATGCACGCTTCCACACCCAGCTAATTTTTTGTTTTTTGTAGAGATGAATTTTTCCCAGGCTAGTCTTGAACTCCTGGACTCAAGTGATCCTCCAGCCTCAGCCTCCCAAAATGCTGGGATTACAGGCAGGAGCCATCACGCCCAGCCTTATCCTGTAGTTTATATTTTGTTTTTTCATTTTCTTCTCTAACTACTACAGGAATTATTTACCTTCCAAAAATGCTCCATGGGATTCCATATAAATATTTTAAGAACACTTCTTAAACTTATAAAAATAATATTTTAAAAATGTTTTAAGGACATTAAAAATCTTTTTATTTGTACCGTATAAACTGTTGGGGTCTTTTAAAAGTCTAAATTCTGTAATTATATACTACACTTTATTGGCAAAGAACAGTAATGTATTAACTATATGGAAATAAGGGACATCTGCTATTTTAATTATTCATAATGAATTCCTGATTTTTGATTGTTTTAAACTCTGGTCAGCATGGTAACACTTGATATTTGCCTGGGTTGATTCATGCTGTTAGCAACATCTAAAGCATAAGGCATTGAAGGAGGCAGTTTGATTAGGATTTTAAAACTGTGACTGAAAGAAATAACGTATGAATAATCAAGAGTTGGCCATAGAGTTGGCTACATAGTAATTTGGGAAACCAGGCTGTAAGGACAATGACACATGTTTACAAAAGCCACGTAATTCTTGCTGTTAAGCATCTCAGATGTAATACTTCAATAAAATAGATATTTTAAAATAGTTGTTTGGCCGCGCATGGTGGCTCACACCTGTAATCCTAGCACTTTGGGAGGCCAAGGCAGGCAGATGCAGATCACTTGAGGTGAGGAGTTCGAGACCAGCCTGGCCAACATGGCAAAAACCTGTCTTTACTAAAAATACAAAAATTAGCTGAGTGTCATGGCACGTGCCTGTAATCCCAGCTACTTGGGAGGCTGAGGCAGAAGAATCGCTTGAACCCGGGAGGCGGAGGTTAGTGAGTTGACATCGTGCCACTGCAGTCCAGCCTGGGTGACAGAGCAAGACTCTGTCTCAAATAAATAAATAAAATAAAATAAAATAAAATAAAATAGTTGCTTTAAAAAAAAGAAACTGTTATTTAGTTCAAATAGGACTGAATTACCGATATATGTATATTGGGATGGGGAAAGCCTCAGACGTACAAATATGTAATTGGTTTAGTTCTCTGAGACCTTATGAATTCATGTCCCTCTGCTCTGCCTCACATGGTCCCATTCCTGTCGTTACATTTGTTACAAAAGTACAATGAATGTCTCTTGGACACAGTGAAATGGATGTTACCAACTATTTACAGTAAGAAGTACCAGATAAACGTGGATTACAAAACTGTTAAACGGATGTCACAAACAGAGCCCACTCTGGCTTTGAAGTGATGGAAAACATTTAGGCTTAAAAAGTCTTCCCAACCCCAGCTAGGCCCGGTGGCTCACGCCTGTAATCCCAGCACTTTGGGAGGGCGAAGCAGGTAGATCACGAGGTCAGGAGTTTGAGACCAGCCTGGCCAACATGGCGAAATCCAGTCTCTACTAAAAATACAAAAAATTAGCCAGGTGTGGTGGCAGACGCCTGTAATCCCAGCTATTCTGGAGGCTGAGGCAGGAGAATCGCTTGAACCTGGGAGACGGAGGTTGCAGTGAGCCCAGAGGACACCACTTTACTCCAACCTAGGTGATAGAGCAAGACTCCATCTCAAAACAAAAAAAAAAAAAAAAGAAAAGAAAAAGATAAAAGAAAGTCTTCTCAGCCCCAAAGCTACATGAAAACCCTCTTCAAGTGATCACCTGCAGTCTCCCTGCCTCCCAAGGCCATTGGAACCCAAGCCATGTGGATATAACCAGAATACTCTAGACTGCCCTTAGAAAAAGCCTTCCTTAAGACAAATACTCATCTGCTAGGAGGGCTTTAATGTTTGTTCTTTTCCCCCGGGTTTTCTTTTTATTTATTTGTTTGTTTGTTTGTTTGTTTTTGATGGAGTCTTGCTCTGTTGCCCAGGCTGGAGTGTGGTGGCACGATCTCGGCTCACTGCAACCTCTACCTCCCAGGTTCAAGTGATTCTTCTGCCTCAGCCTCCCAAGTAGCTGGGACTACAGGCATCCGCCACCATGCCTGGCTAATTTTGGTATTTTTAGTATAGATGGGGTTTCGTAATATTGGCCAGGCTGGTCTCAAACTCCTGACCTCATGATCTGCCCACCTCGGCCTCCCAAAGTGCTGGAATTACAGGCGTGCGCCACCACACCCGGCCCCTGCTGGGCTTTCTGCCTCATTTTCTTTGGTTTCCCCATTAGCTTTCTAACCATTTATTTTATAGATTGAATTGCTAATATAAACATTATAATTATTGGAATTTTGCAATAACACAGCTATTGAGTAAAACTGAACATTAGATAAAATAATTTTAAATGAAGAAATTAGTTCTGATGTGTGGAGTTACATTTTTATTGAATGGACTTTTTAAACAAGTGATTTTTCTCAAGGAGTCAGCTGCACCGACTTAAGCCTGATTAAAAAGTGCTCTTCTCAGCCTGGGTGACGTTGCAAAATCCTGTCTCTATCAAAAATACAAAAACAGCTGGGGGTGGTGGCATGCACCTGTGCTCCCAGCTACTTAGTGGGCTGAAGTGAGAGGATTGCTTGAGCCCAAGAAGTTGAGGCTGCGGTGAGCCGAAATCGAGCCAGTACACTCTGGCCTGGACAACAGAGCGAGACCTGCCTCAAAAACAAAAACAAAAACTTCTCACACGTTAATTAGGTGACTTCACTCTGGCCCTCAACCTCCTCCTCTGTTGCACAATAGTGATAACAGTACCTCCTTAAGGTTGTTGTGCAAATGAATGGAGATAACCGTAGTGTAATAATACCTAGCCCAGCGCCTGAATACCCACTGGAGTCACAAATAAAAGTAAATGTTAAATGGGTTGTTACTTTTTATTATCTCATACACTGTGTGAACTTTCTTGCCCAAGCATTTTAAAAGCAGGGTCCCTACATCCCGTTACTTGTTAGACAATAAATATGGTTTACTTTTTTCCTAAGATGATGCTTCTCATTACAAAAGAGGGAGTTCATTTATATGTTGTTTATAAATCAGATAAAGCTATGTTTAAACCTAATGATTGATTTTATTTTTTTCTCTATATGTCACCAAGGGTTTTTTCATAGGGACATGAAACCAGAAAACTTGCTTTGTATGGGCCCAGAGCTTGTGAAAATTGCTGATTTTGGACTTGCAAGGGAATTAAGGTCCCAGCCACCATACACTGATTATGTCTCTACCAGATGGTGAGTAGGATTATGCAACCCTCCTGAGGCATAAGCCTATGGAGAAATTTTCCTACGATGGATTGTTACATATTTCTGGAAGTTCTGTACTGAATATTTAAAACATAGAATTGAATTTTATATTGTTTAAAGAAAGCGAAGGATTGGTTTATTGCTCTTCTGATCACTGAAAAAATAAGGAAAAAGAATTTCATTTATTCACTCAATCATTCATTCAACAAATATTTATTGAACACCTACTATGTGCCAAACATCATTTTAGGCACAGAGAACACAGCAGTAAAATAAAAAAATAAAAGAAAAACCTCTGCCTTATGCTGCTTATATGACAGCCAATACACAGATAAACAAGTTAAAAATATGATGGGTCACCGACAGAAAGACATACCATGTTCACCAAAAGACGTGAATCCTCTCAACTGCACGCCGCCCAAATGTCCCTGAACAGTAGCATCGTGTATCACCCAGAGGAATGCTTTGCAACAGTGAGAGTGAATGGTCTATGACTGCATGCAGCAATATGGGTGAATCTAAGACAATGTTGAAAGCAAGAGTCCAAACAGAAAAAGGGCACATACCATACGATTTAGTTTATGTAAAGTACAAAAACAGAGACAAATAATCTGTGCCATAAACGTCGGGATAGCAAGCAGTTCCATGGGGTGTGTGTGTGTGTGGTGCCTGGACAAGTGTACAAGGGGCCTTCTGGGTGCTGGTAACATGTCTCTCTCTTTTATTTTGAGACAGTCTCATTCTCTCGCCCTGGCTGGAGTGCAATGGCGTCATCTCGGCTCACTGCAACCTCTGCCTCCCAGTTTCAAGTGATTCTCCTGTCTCAGCCTCCCACGTAGCTGGGATTACAGGTGCCCGCCACCATGCCTGGCTAATTTTTGTATTTTAGTAGAGACAGAGTTTCACCATGTTATCCAGGCTGGTCACCATGTTATTACAGGCGTGAGCCACTGCGCCTGGCCGATAACATATCTTTCTTGATCTGGGTGCTGGGTCCGTGGATGTGTTGTATTTGTGAAAATTCATCAAGCTCTGCTCTTAGAATACATGCCTCTGCCTGTGTGAATATTATACTCCAGTGAAAACAAGAACATACGTGTATCAGGCCGGGCATGGTAGTTCACGCCTGTAATCCTAGCACTTTGGGAGGCCGAGATGGGGGATCACTTGAGGCCAGGAGTTCAAGACCAGCCTGGCCAACATGGCTAAACCCTGTTTCTACTAAAAATACAATATTAGCTGGGTGTGGTGTCACCTGCCTTGGTGCCACCTACTTGGGAGGCTGAGACATGAAAATCACTTGAACCTGGGAGGCAGAGGTTGCAGTGAGTCAAGATTGCACCACTGAACTCCAGCTTGGGCAACAGAGCAAGACTCTTTCTCAAAAAAAAAAAAAACAAAGAAATATATTTGAAACATCTGATGATGTTGATACATTATAATAAAGAAAAATAAAATATGAAAGGGAGCAGGGAGTTGGGGGAGATGGGGAGGGACAGGAATGTTGCTGTTTTACCTGGAAGGCCTCACTGAGAGTGGCCCTGAAGGAGACGCCAGGACTAGGAGGAATTTTTTTAGGCAGAGCAAATGCTAAATAGAAAAGCTTTGAGACAGGTGCATGCCCCACGTGAATTGCGCACAGCGTAGAATGAATGAGGAGGGCAGTCGTAGGAAACAAGGGCAGAGTTTGTAGAGTGGCCAGAAATGATAGTGACTTGGACCTGCTGGATATGCAGGTAGTGAGAAAGTGTGGAATTTGGGGTATGTGTTCTAATGAATCAGATGTGGGGGCTGAAAGAAAGGAGTCCGTGTCTTAGTGTGTTTTGTGTTGCTGTAAAGGAACGCCTGAGACTGGGAAGTTGATAAAGAAAGGAGGTTTATTTGGCTCCCGGTTCTGCAGGCTATAAAAGAAGCCTGGCACTGGCATCCGCTTGGCTTCTGGTGAGAGTTTTTATGCTGCATCGAAACATGGTGGAGAAGGTCAGGCTGGGCGCAGTGGCTCATACCTGTAATCCCAGCATTTTGGGAGGCCATGGCGGGTGGATCACCTGAGATCAGGAGTTCAAGACCAGCCTGGCCAACATGGTGAAACCCCGTCTCTACTAAAAATACAAAAATTAGCCGGGCATGGTGGTGCATGCTTGTAATCCCAGTTACTCAGGAGGCTGAGGCAGGAGAATCACTTGAACCCAGGAGGCGGAGGTTGCAGTGAGCTGAGATCGTGCCATTGCACTCCAGTCCGGGCAACAAGAACAAAACTCCATCTCAAAAAAAAAAAAAAAAAAAAAAAGGTGGCAGGGGGAAGGTCAAAGGGGAAATGGGCATGTGCGAGAAGGGAACAAACAAGAGGAGGAAGCTTGCTGTGGAGCAACCCACTGTCTCAGTAACTAATTTCATCTTGTCTGAAAAAGAACTCATTCACTGCAAGAGAACAGCACCAAGCCTTTCATGAGGGATCCGCCCTGGTTACGTAACCTGCGAATGTGACCTTATTTTGAAATAGGGTCTTTGCAAATGTAATCAGGCTAAGATGAGGTCAGACCACAGCATGGCTGGTCTTAATCCAATAAGACTGATGTCCTTATAAGAAGAAGGCAGACACAGAGATGGAAGAGGGAAGACACGTGAAGGCACCTTGGGAGAAAGCAGTGTGATGTACACTGTAAATGGATCAACTGTATATTACGTGAATTCTATATCAATAAAGCGTGTAAAAATATTCGTCAAAGAAAGTATAGTAAGTTCTCACTTAACATCATCAATAGGTTCTTGAAAACTGACTTTAAGTAAAACAACGTATGATGAAACCAATTCGACCATAGGCTAATTAAAATAAACAATTTCATGGCACATTTCTGGTCACAAAAACATCACGAAAGTTTTTTTTTTTTCTGTCACCCAGGCTGTAGTGCAGTGGCATGATCTCGGCTCACTGCAACCTCTGCCTCCCAGATTCAAGTGATTCTCCTGCCTCAGCCTCCCGAGTAGCTGGGATTACAGACGCCCATCACTACACCCGGCTAATTTTTTGTATTTTTAGTAGAGACGGGGTTTCACCATGTTCACCAGGCCGGTCTCTAACTCCTGACCTCGTGATTCGCCCACCTTGATCTCCCAAAGTGTTGGGATTACGGGCGTGAGCCACTGCGCCTGGCCACCAAACTTCTAAACAGCGACCAAAACACTAGTATTGAACATTGAAATACATGTGAGCCATACATACATTTAAGAAAGATTAATAAAAACAAAGAAGATAATTATTTGTCCAGTTATTCTAGTTCAGGGTCACAGGTGGCTACAGCGTGTCCTGGAAGCTGGAGGTGCAAGGTGAGCACCAACCATGGATGTGACAGCCTCCCATGGCAGCACTCCCGTCCCCCCGCCCCGACACACACATGCACCCACTGACTCCTCCTGGGGCCACACGGACACCCCAGTTCCCCTGACATGCACACGTTTGGGATATGGGAGGAAGATGGAGTCCCGGAGAAAACCCACGTAGACTTGGGGAGAACGTGCAGACCCCACACAGTGGCTCAGCCAGAAATGCCTTCTTTTTTTCTTTCTCATCAACATTACAATGAAACAACATTGAGCAAAACAACATTGAACAAAACTAGTTTATTTGAGGGCTTGCCATATTCTCAGTGAACGCAGAAACATTATGCCAAACATTTGGACTGAAATAGTTACACATTTTGGATGGAAAAAAAGAGAGTTGAGAGTATCTTCCATTTAGCAGACTTTGTGTTGGATTCACCAGCTCACTTTGCTCTTGTAAATTGAGTATTTTTCTCAATTAAAAATATTGTTAGGCTGGGTGTGGTGGCTCACGCCTGTAATCTCAGCACTTTGGGAGGCTGAGGCCAGCTAATCACCTGAGGTCAGGAGTTCGAGACCAGCCTGGCCAACATGGGGACACCCCATCTCTACTAAAAATACAAAAATTCACCGGGCGTGGTGGTGTGCCCCTGTAATCCCAGCTACTCGGGAGGCTGAGGCAGGAGAATCACTTGAACCTGGGAGGCGGAGGTTGCAGTGAACCAAGATCCTGCCATTGCACTCCAGCCTGGGCAAAAAGAGCAAAACTCCACTCAGTAAATAGAGTTGACTACAGAAGAGGAGTCGGTTGAGGATATCAGTACTTTCAAACGGATAAAAAGAAGAAAAAACTGCACTACTCAGGGATAATCCTTGTTCATCTTTTGTTTTCTGTGCTTCCTTGTGAATAGATGCTGAATATAATGCTTTGTAACATGGTTTTTCTACTTTTTTTCTTGATATATCAGATGGCACTTATTTCCATATCCATTCAGTTGAGTTCCTGTCTGAGCCTTCATGGACATTTCATAGTCATTAATTTGTCCCCAGCCCCACTCATTGTGGTCAGGGAACATGTGTTATGTCCTATTGTCCCCAGAACATTGTACAAGTGCCTGACACACAGATGGAACGGGGTCTGAATATCTGTTCCTTGATGGAAATGCATGACCAAAGGGCGTAGAATGCTACTGCCCATTCACCTTTCAAATTACAATCAAAATCACCTCTTTTGTTTTCTGTTCTCATAGGTATCGTGCCCCTGAAGTTTTACTGAGATCTTCAGTTTATAGTTCTCCCATTGATGTGTGGGCTGTTGGAAGTATCATGGCTGAACTCTATATGTTAAGACCACTTTTCCCAGGGACGAGTGAGGTCGATGAAATCTTTAAAATTTGCCAAGTTTTAGGGACTCCCAAAAAGGTAAGTACTCTTGTTCCTAAGTTGTTATAACTTTTGAGTATTTCTATCTTGCCACTTTGCTTTTAATTTTATAATTTTTGATTTTTTACAACTGTTGCCTAGATAGCTGATATTTTCATTTTGAAATAGGCTCGTACTTTAATGATTAATTTTCTTATAATACTTTTTTTTTCTTTTTGAGATGGAATCTCACTCTGTTGCCCAGGTTGGAGTGCAGTGGCACAATCTCAGCTCACTGCAACCTCCACCTCCCAGGTTCAAGCAATTCTCATGCCTCAGCCTCCCAAGTAGCTGGGATTACAGGTGTGCACCACCATGCCTGGTCAATTTTTCTTTTAGTAGAGAGGGGATTTCACCATGTTGGCCAGGCTGGTCTTGAACTCCTGAGCTCAAGCGATCTGCGATCTGCCCACCCCAGCCTCCCAAAGTGCTAGGGTTACTTGGCGTGAGCCACTGTGCCCGGCCATAATCCTTATTTTTTTTAATCAGAGTAGGTTAAGGATTGCAAGGAGCCAGAATCCCACTAGCTGAAGAAAAACAGGTGTTTGCCTTTAAGAACTTCAGGAAAAATTCTGTGTGTTTAGAGTGTAACTTGGGGGTGATGCCCAGCTGACACTGTACAGACAGCCTTGCTTGGGCTCTTTCCTAGTCACTCTGTGGCTGGCCATTGGCATCACCTATTAACCCCTGTTGTCTTGAACCTTATATTTTCTTTACCCTTTCTTGTTTCCTTTTCTATATCTCTCCTGTGGATATTTGACTTCTTGAACTGAGTACTTTTTAATTAACTATAATTATATTTCATCTATACCTTTCTTTCTGAAAGGTGCTTTATAAGTGTGTATATAACGACATCCTAATTAAATTAGTATGTGCCTTGTAGTTAACATTACACAAGTAAATGTAGATATTAAAGCTTTAATGTAATTGTCATTTCCCACATATGTGCATTTTTAACATTGGACGTGATGGGTAATATATACAACAAGGATCTTTGTTAGCAATCAACCTCTTTTAAAGCACTTTTCCTTATTTGTTCAGAGTTAACCCAGATATCATCACAGCAACATCACCATCAGGATCTAAAACCAGGCAAGAGCTTAATATTGTGAAATTTATAGAGGTCGGGCATAGTGGCTTGTGCCTGTAATCCTAGCACTTTGGGAAGCCCAGGCCGGAGGATCACTTGAGCCCGTGAGTTCAAGACCAGCCTGGGCAACATAGTGAAACCCCATCTCCACAAAAAAAAACCAAAAAAAAACCAGGTGTGATGGTATGCACCTGTAGTCCCAGCTATTCAGGAGGCTGAGGTGGGAGGATCTCTTGAGCCTGGGAGGGTGAGGCTGTAGTGAGCCATGATTTGCACCACTGCACTCCAGCCTGGACAACAGAGCTAGATCTTGTCTCAAAAAAAAAAAAAAACAGAAAAAAAACAAGTTATAAAAGTGCTTTTCACATTGTTTCCTAACTCTCAGCTTAATGTTCTTTCTACACTGTCGTAGCACTGAACTGTAGACGTGGTCTGGTATTTCATTCTCATTTTATTTATATGGATCAACATGAAAATGTTCAAACATAAATGATGTTTATATTACTGCTGTGTTTTTTTAATGGATTACTAAAAACAATTTGTTTTGCCCTCCCCACCCACACTTATATATTCCTGAAACAGAGTGACTGGCCAGAAGGATACCAGCTGGCATCCTCTATGAACTTCCGTTTTCCCCAGTGTGTTCCTATAAACTTAAAAACTCTCATTCCCAATGCCAGTAATGAAGCTATTCAGCTCATGACCGAAATGTTGAATTGGGATCCAAAGAAACGACCAACAGCAAGCCAGGTAAGAGGAGTCTTCCTGTTAGACCTTTTAAAATGTTTAGGTTTTTTAATATCAGGAATGTTTTCATTTACAAAGGCAGGTCTATTCTCAACCAGGATTTTACTAAGAGAATTAAACACAAAGCTCTAGGCATCCAGCATATGTAATAAATTAATTTCTAGGCATATAAGATCATTGGGAGAAATGCAGAAATAGCCACACCAATGATTTTCTGTGTTTTGTGGTTCAAATGAAGAACCTGAAGTTGCAACAAGGAATCAGTCTGCAGTGATAAAAATTCAGACATGTGACAGACTAGTTATGAAGGAATCTGTCATGGGTAGCAAAAAGGCGTCTCATGAATCATTCCACATAGTAGACCTTCCTATGCTGTCTTTATAGTTTAGAGGTGGGATTCTGGTTCGCTATACAACAGTATCATCCCTTGCTGGAACTGAGTGTGCGGCCTCTGGCTGCCACAAGAGGGCAGCCTTGTGGCACTCAGGCTTTGTTGCTTTGTGACTGCACCTGACATATCCACAGATGTATTCCAAGTCTCGGGCCTTTAAAACCCAGTGCTTTTGTCTGCAAGGCTTCAATAAAGCAATAATAATCTTTATTGTATTCTCATCATTTAAATATAAATTCTGTGTGACAATTACAAAATTTATTTTGCTTTTTTTAAAAAATTAATCTTGAGAAAATGTTTTCTAAATGTCATCTGGAAGAACAAATGGGAAAGGATAGTCAAGACACGTTAAAACAAGAATAAGTAATTAGAGAGTGGTGAGGCCGGGTGTGATGGCTCACGCCTGTAATCCCAGCACTTTGGGAGGCCGAGGCAGGCAGATCACAAGGTCAGGAGATCGAGACCATCCTGGCTAACAAGGTGAAACCCCATCTGTACTTAAAAAAAAAAAAACCAAAACCAAAAAATTAGCCAGGCGTGGTGGCAGGCGCCTGTAGTCCCAGCTACTTGGGAGGCTGAGGCAGGAGAATGATGTGAACCCGGGAGGCGGAGCTTGCAGTGAGCCAAGATCGCACCACTGCACCTCCAGCCTGGGTGGCAGAGTGAGACTCCGTCTCAAAAAAAAAAAAAAAAAAACAATGGAGCGGTGATAGGGATGGACAGCTTGCCCCACCAGATATTAAAGTAATCTTTAAATTGATGATGGTAACAGTGGAAGTACTGGCATAAGAACTGACAAATAGCTCGATGTTGCAGAACGTATGAGTCAGCATAAGGTAAACAAATGTGGCATCACATAGGGAAGGACGGCTCAGTGGGTGGGTGATACTGGAAAAATTCATTAGCTCTTAAGGAGAAAGATAAATTGAGGTTCTTACTGCTCACCATACTTTACAAATCACAGAAGGATTACATTTTGTTGTTGTTATTGAGATGGAGTTTCACTCTTGTTGCCAAGGCTGGAGTGCAGTGGCGTGATCTCGGCTCACCACAACCTCTGCCTCCAGGGTTCAAGCAATTCTCCCGCCTCAGCCTCCCAAGTAGCTAGGATTACAGGCTTGTGCCACCACACCTGGCTAATTTTGTATTTTCAGTAGAGATGGTGTTTCTCCATCTTGGTGAGGTTAGTTTCAAACTCCTGACCTCAGGTGATCCGCCCTCCTTGGCCTCCCAAAGTGCTGGGATTACAGGCGTGAGCCACCACGCCCAACCAGGATTACATTTTCAAAGTGTAAGAAAAAAGCACCTCTAAACTGATAGAAACAAAAGGAAAACATACACGTGTATTTGATCTCAAGGTGAAAAAAACATGGGTATAAAAATAATAGAAGAAACCACAAAAGGAAAACTCAAAAGATTTGATTACATACAAATTAAAATTTTTCTCTATGTAAAAATCTTAAAATGGAAAGATAAGACAGAGAAAATTATTGTTAATTCTTAATATAATACTGAAACATAAGAAACATAAGAAAAATACTGAAATGTTTATGTGTATTTTCTTTTTTTTTGAGATGGAGTCTCTGTTGCCCAGGCTGGAGTGCAGTGGCATGATCTTGACTCACTGCAACCTCCACCTCCTGGGTTCAGGCGATTCTCCCCGAGTAGTTGGGATTACAGGCACCTGCCACCACGCCTAGCTAATTTTTGTATTTTTGTAGAGATGGAGGTGTTTTTTTTTGTTTTTGTTTTTGTTTTAATTTGAGATGGAGTCTTACTCCGTCGCCCAGGCTGGAGTGCAGTAACGCGATCTTGGCTCACTGCAAACTCTGCCTCCCAGGTTCAATCTGTTCTCCTGTCTCAGCCTCCCAAGTAGCTGGGACTATCGGTGCCTACCACCATGCCTGGCTAATTTTTGTAGTTTTAGTAGAGATGGGGTTTCACCTTGTCAGTCACGCTGATCTCGAACTCCTGACCTCAGGTGATCCACCCCAGCCTCCCAAAGTGCTGTACAGGTGTGAGCCACTGCGCCCAGCCAGAGATGGAGTTTTACCATGTTGACCAGGCTGCTCTCGATCTCCTGACCTCAGGTTATTTGCCTGCCTTGGCCTCCCGAAATGCTGGCATTACAGGCATGAACCACCATGCCCAGCCATTTAAGTGTATTTTCTAATTTTTCTTTTTTAAAATTGTTTTAAAGTTTCATTTCTTTAAAGATGGGGTCTTACTAGGTTGTCCTGACTGGTCTCAAACTCCTGGCCTCATGCAATTGTCCTGCCTTGGACTCCCAAAGTGCTAGAATAATAGAGGCATGAGCCACCACACCTGGCCCATATTTTCTAATTTTTCTAAACATGTATTACCTTCGTAATAAAGACACAATAAGTTTTTCAAATGTGTTTTAAAAAGAAAAGTAGTCATGGGACATGAAAAAGAAACACAGGAAAAGAAATATAGATTACCAAAAATGCTTTTTAAATGTTCAGTCTTTGTTTACTCTCATAAAATGCAAGTAGAAATGAGATACCATTTTTCATTGATCTCTTAGTAAGAGAAAGTAATTTTGTAGTAAATAAAAAAGAGCCTTAAAGACAATCAGAAATTATGCTCAAAGATGTTCAATTCCAATAGAAAACTGTCCATTGAAAGCTAATCAAAATGTTTCCAGCCGAATGCAGTGGCTCTGCAGTGCCAATGCCTGTAATCCCAGCACTTTCCCAGGCGGGCGGATCACTTGAGGTCAGGAGTTTGAGACCAGGAGTCTGGCCAACATGGCAGAACCCTGTCTCTACTAAAAATACAAAAAATTAGCAAGGCATGGTGGTGTGCACCTGTAATCTCAGCTACTCGGGAGGCTGAGGCAGGAGAATAGCTTGAACCTAAGAGGCGGAGATTGCAGTGAGCCAAGATCATGCCACTGCCCTCCAGCCTGGGCGACAGAGCGAGACTCTGTCTCAAATAAATAAATAAATAAATAAATAAAGTTTCTAAACTTAAATTATGTGCGTCTTTAATTTGGAATACACTGCCAGCATTAACAGTGAATTTGTGAAATAAAATTTTTAAACAATTTGGGACAAATTTCATGCTAAAATACTATTATACAAATAATATGATTTTGTCTTTGAAAAATACATTTTATATGAGAAAAAATACTGAAAAGTATAAAAAAAGGTTAGTCTTGGTTGTCTCTGGGTGTTAAATTTTTATTTTCATCTTGAGAACTCTACATGTTTCTCATTCTCTACAGTGATCACCGCTTCCCTTAAGTAAATAGGAAAAAAATAAATGCTATTAATTTTTAAAGTTTTCCCTCTTCTTGAAGGATAGTAACTGGTATCTTAAAGTATCTTAAAAGGGAAGAGTTGGCCGGGCATGGTGGCTCACACCTGTAATCCTAGCAATTTGGGACGCTGATGTGGGCGGATCATGAGGTCAGGTGTTCGAGACTGGCCTGACCAACATGGTGAAACCCCGTCTTCTACTAAAAATACAAAAATTAGCTGGGTGTGGTGGCGGGTGCCTATAATCCCAGCTACTCAGGAGGCTGAGGCAGGAGAATTGCTTGAACCCGGGAGGCAGATGCAGTGAGCCGAGATGGTGCCACTGCACTCCCGCCTGGGCGACAGAGCGAGACTCCATCTCAGAAAAAAAGGAAGAGTTGTTATAAATAAAGCCTTGAAATTACAAAACACATCCTCAAAGTTTCCGTCTCCAAAATATGCATAACTAATTTAGGAATATTGACATATTAATTAATGTTACTTAATTCAGAATTTGAGTACCTTCAGCGTGCTAGGCATTGAAGTATTTAAATTATGCATATTTGTGTATTCCACTGAGAATGCAAGTAACGCTTAACGAACTCTTTCTGGTGCTCTGTTTCACAGCCCTGCTTTTTAGTGGAAGTGGAAAGACCTAATTTAGGGGGAGAGGTTGGTTAAGTTGTAGAATATGAAGACCATTTAAAGTACCAAGCTGCCTTCTGTTCCTCTAAAAACTGACCTTACACATGGGAGGAGTTAACTGTTGGTCAGGGCTGTGTTCCCACGTGTGTGGGGACTGGCTAAAGGCAGGAGGTTCAGGGGAACAGAGCTTGACCATCTTAAGGAACCCACCCCCCCAAAAAAAAGAACAGCTACTTTGCCCAGGTATTTGATGCCAATAAGGGAATTTTTCCATAGCTGAGCTACACAGGCTTTAGACATTCTGTAGAATATTTTTTCAGTTTTAGCCTTATTGACATTTTGAACCAGATAACTCTTGGCTGTGGGGTGCTATTCTGTGCATTATAGGGTATTTAGCATTGTCCCTGGTCTTCTAGACACTAGATACCAGTAGCATCCCCCTACCTCTGTCATTATAAGAAGAAATGTCTCCAGACATTGCCAGATATCTCCCAAGGGGCAAACTTGCCCCCAGTGGGGAAGCACTTCCCTAGACAGTGCCACCCGTACACCAGGGGGTCCCTTCCCTCTCATGCGAGCAGGAAAACGCAAACAGTGATCATTTTTCTTAGTGTTTTTATATTTTCTTCCCATAAATGTCTTCTCTTCGCTGGTATACTGATGAAATAAACTTCAACAGTATGTATGCTTTTGTTGTCCCCTTTTGATTTTTTTTATTGTTGTTGTTACTAGTAGGTATATTGTTGTACTCAGACTGAGAGTAACCCGGAATTTTATATACAGCTCTGGTTAATCATTTCAAATAATCTATATGGAAAATTTTCTTAATTCACTTTTTAATATCTTTGAATGTACTCTAAACCATTTTTGGTGTGTAGTATTTTAGCTTGAAGTAATCACATTAATTTAGCCAATGCCTATAGATTAGATTTTATTTTCATTAACAAATCAAATAAATAGAACAGTTGTTTTGCTTAGATGTTATAATAACAAGTGAGCTTTCTATTTTTCCTACTTGTACTGGTTTTTTTTTTTTTTTTTTATTTGTTTGTCTTTTTGAGACGGAGTCTCGCTCTGTTGCCCAGGTAGAAGTGCAGTGGCACAATCTTGGCTCACTACAACCTCCTCCTCCCAGGTTCAAGCGATTCCCGTGCCTCAGCCTCCCATATAACTGGAATTACAGACACCCACCAACATGCCTGGCTAATTTTTGTGTTTTTAGTAGAGACTGGGTTTCACCATGTTGGCCAGGCTGGTCTTGAACTCCTGACCGCAAGTGATCCGCCCGCCTCGTCCTCCCAAAGTGCTAGGATTACAGGCGTGAGCCACCATGCCCGGCCACTTTTAATTTTTTAATGCAATTTATTTCTCAAATCATTTTTTTCTGGTTATTTTTAAAAGGGACACTGTATAGGGAATGATGGCTGCTTTCTAAATCTTTGAAGCTCATGTGGGCTAATGATAAATGCCTCGCACAGGGTCAATCATAGTTTATGTGCAATACATTTAGGTGGAACTGTTTTCCATTTGTTGTTTTTTCTGTGTTTTTATAGGCATTGAAACACCCATATTTTCAAGTTGGTCAGGTATTAGGTCCTTCCTCAAATCATCTGGAATCAAAAGAGTCTTTAAATAAGCAACTGCAACCATTAGAATCAAAGCCATCTTTAGTTGAAGTAGAGCCTAAGCCTCTGCCAGATATAATTGATCAGACTGTTGGACAACCCCAGCCAAAAACTAGCCAGCAGCCACTGCAGCCCATTCAGCCACCACAGAACCTGAGCGTCCAGCAACCTCCAAAGCAACAGAGTCAGCAGAAACCGCCACAAACACTATTCCCAAGCATCATCAAAAACGTGCCAACCGTGAGTAGCCAATCATGACGCTTGCAATGAAGTAGTTTGACTCGTGCAATGAAGATTTTGTTTCGAGGCATTTCTAATCATGTTGGAAAAGATAGAAAACATTATTCTTTGTTAAAGACCTTGAGTCCTCTGATTGGAGCTTGACATGAGATCACTTAAAATTCTAATATGGTTTATAAAAAGAAAAACTTTCAGAATAAAAGTAACCAAGTGTACATGCTACACAGTCTTCAGTCTTTCTTTCTTTTTTTTTTTTTTTTTTGGGCGGAGGGTTGTTTTTTTTTTTTTGTCTGGAGTGCAGTGGCACGGCCTCAGCTCACTGCAATCTCTGCCTCCTGGATTCAAGGGATTCTCCTGCCTCAGCCTCCCGAGTAGCTGGGATTACAGGCACGCACCACCACACCCGGCTAATTTTTTGTATTTTTAGTAGAGATGGGGTTTCACCATGTTGCCCAGGCTGGTCTTGAATTCCTGACTGCAAGTAATCTACCCGCCTTGGCCTCCCAAAGTTCTGGGATTACAGGCGTGAACCACCACGCCTGGGCTTTTCGTTTTTTTTTTCTTGAGACAGAGTTTCACTCTATTTGCTCAGGCTGGAGTGCAGTGGTGCAATCTTGGTCACTGCAGTCTCCACCTCCAGGGTTCAAGCAATTCTCTTGCCTTAGCATCCTGAGTAGCTGGGATTACAGGTGCCCACCACCACACCCGGCTAATTTTTGTATTTTTAGTGGAGACCATGTTGGCCAGGCTGGTCTTGAACTCCTGACCTCAGGTGATCCATCCGTCTCAGCCTCCCAAAGTGTTGGAATTACAGGCGTGAGCCACCAAGCCCAGCCTAAAGTTCTTTCAATGCAGAAGAATTCAAAGAAATAATTTAAAAGAATCGGGTACTCCAGAGTACTGATCCTAAATCTTAAGAATTTTCAACAGTACTATCATTTTACAGTGTTCTCAAATGCTAAGGAACATGGAGAGAATGGGTTTTTATTTATTATTATAATTATTATTATTTTGAGATGGAATTTCACTCTTGTTGCCCAGGCTGGAGTGCAATGGTGTGATCTTGGCTCACAGCAACCTCCACCTCCCGGGTTCAAGCTATTCTCCTGCCTCAGCCTCCCGAGTAGCTGGGATTACAGGCATGTGCCACCACACCTGGTTAATTTTGTATTTTTGGTAGAGACAGGGTTTCTTCATGTTGGTCAGGCTGGTCTCGAACTCCCGACCTCAGGTGATCCGCCCTCCTTGACCTCCCAAAGTGCTCGGATTACTTTGGGTAGTGAGCCACCGCGCCCAGCCAGAATGGGTTTTTGAAGTGTCAGGCATAGTATAAAACTTTTTCTTCCATCTTTTGTTTGACTCCGGGAGCTCTTCAGTTGCTGTAGTGTTTTAGCTGTCCCATTGGGGTATACACTCCCAAATGTGTTTGCATTATGGCATTTTAGGATGGAAATTGGTCTTACACAGCACGTATCTATTTCCTTATCCAGTCCCCACCTGCCCTGCCAACCCAGTATAAGCAAGACCTCCTCGTCCCCCAGTAGCACTAATCACATTCTAACATACTGTTAATTAGTTATTTCTTAGGTTTATTGTTTATTTGTCTCTTCCTCTGGAGTGCAGCAAGCTCAGTGAGGTCAGGAATGTTTTCTGTTTATCAGTACAGCCTCAGCGCCCTGACCAGTGCCCGCCACATGGTAGATTCTCAGTAAATATTTGTTCAGTGAATGGATTGAATCATTGCCCACACGACTTGCAAACCACCTCTGGGGTCCCAAGGAGTCCCCTTTATCTTTGGAACAGTTCTGAATATTAGAAGGTTCTTCCTTATACTGGGTAAAATCTGGTTTTCTAGCTTTTAATGAAGGCTAATCACTTTTCTAGAAAGGCAGCCTTTTAGGTATTTGAAAATAGCCCTTATATTATCGGCCCTTTTCTCCAGAGAAACATCACCGTTTCCCTTAAGGGCTCTGCATATAACGCCATTCACAATGACTGATAACTCTCAGTTCCTATTATGAATATGCCTTTAAGTCCCCTCTCATCCTGCTTCCCACTTAGAATGAGGCTGCCAGAACTGGAGGCAGACAGCAGGCAGGGAATATAGAGCAGGACGAATCACCTCCGACACTCTAAACCATGTGTGCACTCGTGCCACCAATGATTACAGTCCTCCCCACAACCCCTTAGAAGATGCCTCAGTTGCTGACTCATACTGTGAGGGAAGGAAAGGAAGTTACTATTTATTGAGTAGCTACTAAGTGCCATGCATATGCTAGGGACCCTGTGTGTATTCTCTAAGTTAAAGAGAATAACCTAGCCCCCCGCCCCGCCACACACACACACATTTTTATATAGGTAAGTTCCAATACTTAATCCAGGGATTGAGTATTGTGTCAACTAAAATTTCTAAGTATACCGATTTTTTCATAAATGCTTCTCCTAAATTGTATATTCTGTACCTCTGACTTGTGTATTTCATCTCTAGGATTCAAAAAGTTGCAAGACCTTTTCCAATTTCTAATTATTTTTGAATCTTTTATTTTTTCTTCTCAGTTTACCCATTTTGGGTAAACTGAGTTTACTCAGTTTGCCCAGCTTCTTGCCAGCTGTGTATTTGTTTAGTTGTCTGTTTTCCTCCTGAATCTTCATGATGAATAGAATGACCGTGAGATCTTGGGCAGGCCACTACAACCTTCTCCTAGATTGACATTGATCCATTCATCAGTACTCTTGGTCAAGTTCTTCAACTATGTGCTGATCACCTTTGCTGCCTTCACCCAATGGGCTAAAGTTTACATACACTACATTGAATGAATTCATTGTTTGCCATTTATGAAAAAGTGTGGTCTATATGAGCTATCACTGTTTTTCCTTAGTGCTCACAAACATCCCCTCTAATAATTGATTTTAGAATCTTTGCCCTCATCCTCTACCAAACTTACTGAGGTGGAGTTTGCAAAAATAAATCTTCTACTTTATTAAGACTATTATATTTGCCACTTTCCAGTCTTCTCAGACACACAGGATTCTTGGATATCACTGACATTGTTCAGCAGCGTTCAGCATCGGCACCCTAAAATACAACTCAACAGAAAGGAAGCTCAAACTCAGCTCAGGGTAACCTTTTATGAACCCTACTCATCTGGAGCTTAACATTTTTTTATTCTCTTTATTCTGGAGATTGTTCTGCCTGGCAGAGAAAATAATAGTGTAGAAGCTGGCAAATACTGCTTTTTGTTATCATCCATCACTATCACTGTGACACCATCAGCTTCAAGCAATAGCACGTCCATTCTTTAAGCATCTCCCTGCACCCAACATAGCTGTATTTTCTGACAATTTTCCATGCTCTATTCCATAGTTTTGAGTTGCCTTTTGGATTTTTCTGTTTATGTGCCCCCAAACCACTCTCTGTAAATTTGTATAAAACCAATTCATTGTGTGCTCCAAGCCAGGACTTCTTTCCTGTTCCTTATTTCTGTTAACGATGCCTCCATTCTGTTGGCAGTCAGACTCATACTTCCCTCTCTGTTTCCGTTAGGATTACGTTCAGGGACTTATGACAAAAACTCGACCCCTGTGGCTTAAACAATAGGGGTTTTTTCTCACATAACAAGAAATTGGGTGGTGGAGCTCATGAAGCTTACAGAGGAGGCAGGCTGCTGCTGGCTTCGCGCTCCACCACCCTGAGCAGGTGGCTGTCATGCCTGTGGCCACAGGATCACTGGTGTGCCTTTGGATGTCGTGTCTACATTCAAGGAGGGGGAAGAGTACAAGATGCTGGCACATGCCAGCCTTAGTGTCCTTCTCATTAAGGCTGTCCCCAGTTAAGGAGGACACTAAGGCTTTGAGAAGTTAAGTCCCTTGCCCAAAGAGACATAGCCAAGTCTCGGGTTTCCAGATCCTTCGTGTCAATGAAGAGTCAACTCAGATCCAAAATATTCAAGTCTCCCACTGACCTAGTTCACAGAGATCTCTCCTCTGAACACCTGTCATATTTTTGGCATGTACCGCCCATTTTTGTTCATGCTTTTAAATGTGTATATATGTTATGCACTTAAGTGTATGGAATGCTCCTTGAGAATGGGGACTGTTAGTGTCTTACGTAGTAGCTTGTACATGAAAGGCATTCAGTACATGATTAAAGATTATGACTGATTTTCCACCACAGAAGCCAAATGGCACACTGAGTCATAAAAGTGGTAGGAGGCGTTGGGGTCAGACTGTCTTCAAGTCTGGAGACAGCTGGGAAGAGTTGGAGGACTATGATTTCGGAGCCTCCCATTCCAAGAAGCCAAGCATGGGTGTTTTTAAAGACAAAAGGAAAAAAGATTCTCCATTTCGGTAAGATTTCAAATTCCTCAGAAAACTATTTTTGCCATGCATTCACTTTATTTTACTCATTAAATATAAATGCATGTAGACCTTAAAAGAAGAAAAGTTTGCTTAATAGGCCGGGCGCAGTGGCTCAGGCCTGTAATCCCAACACTTTGGGAGGCGGAGGTGGGTTGATCACTTGAGGCCAGGAGTTTGAAACTAGCCTGGCCAACATGGTGAAACCCCGTCTCTACTAAAAATACAAAAATTAGCTGGGCATGGTGGCATGCACCTGTAATCCCAGCTACTCGGGAAGCTGAGACATGAGAATTTCTTGAACCTGGGAGGCGGATGTTGCAGTGAGCCAAGATTGCGCCATTGCAATCCAGCCTGGGTAACAAAGTGAGACTCCAATTCAAAAAAGAAAAAAGTTTGCTTAATATATTGGTTCCTTCCACAAAATGCAAATCTTTCCACATACCTCTGAAAAGGTAAGAATCTTCTCACAGTAACAATTCTCAGTATTAACAGATGAGTGGGGGGGGGGGTGGTGTGTGTGTAGAGAGAGTGTGTCAGTCCGTTTTTGCATTGCTATAAAGAATGTGTTGGCCCAGGGTTCTGCAGGTTGTACAGGAAGCATAGTGCCAGCATCTGCTTCTGGTGAGGGCTTCTGGAAACTTAGAATCATGGCGGAAGGTGGAAGAGGATCCAGCCTGTCACAGGGCAAGAGAGGGAGCAAGAGAGAGAGGGAGGAGGTCCCAGACTCTTTTAAACGATCAAGTCTCGCGGGAACTCAGAGTGAGAACTCACTCATTACCGCAAGGATGGTACCAAGCCATTCATGAGGGATCTGCTCCCATGATCCAGACACCTCCCACCAGGCCCCACCTCCAAAACTGGGGATTACATTTCAACATGAGATTTAGAGAGGACAGATGTCCAAAACATATCAGAGGGGATCTTGTTCCATTTTCACCATGCTCTCGTGAATGACCATCATTATTCCCCTTTGAAATTGACATGCCTCGTTGCAGAAATCAGAGCACCACATGCCAAGTTAACGGCTGCTTCTGACGGTGTTAAGATTTCATTATCTGCTTGCTTGCTGTTCTAAACTTTTTTCAATCATTTTCTGAGTCTTTTCTGGAAGTTTAATCTCTCTAGCAGTTCCTTTTCTTTTTATAAGTGAGGTCATCCTCAGTGTATTATTCAACTTTGAAGTTAGGATGGGTTAAGTTTTGGTGAATATTTTGGAAAGATACTTTTTTTTTTTTTTTTTTTTTTTTCTTTTCCTCTTTGAAACAGAAGAATGGGAAGAACAGTTGTGTTATGAATCAGGAAAACTTATCCCGTATCTATTTGGCATGGTATAGTATGGAAGTCTTCACTTTGGCGCGCGGGGATTCTCTAAGGAGTACATACGCTTGGATAATTTTTTTTTTTCTTTTTTGCTTGGATAACTCTTAGGCAATCCATCTCCAGGTCTTCACATTCCATAGGTACTCTTTCCTAAAAATACATGAATTTGAGGAAAAGCCCACTCAAGTCCTCTTCCACTTTAGGCAAGAAAGTCACACCTCTCAGTTATTTCAATTCTTACATGGCATAGAGTTACTAAATAAAGGGACAAATCAGAAAACTGGCTTTCTGTTGCTTCTTGTCTTATAGAAATCGGGTACAGTAGTCCCCCTAACCTGCAGTTTCATTTTCCATGGTTTCATTTACCTGCAGTACAGTGCAGTAAGATATTTTGGGCTGGGTGTGGTGGCTCACCCCTGTAATCCTAGCACTTTGGGAGGCTGAGGCGGGTGGATCACCTGAGTTCAGGAGTTCAAGACCAACCTGTCCAACATGGTGAAACCTCATCTCTACTAAAAATACAAAAATTAGCCGGGTGCGGTGACAGGCGCCTGTAATCCCAGCTACTCAGGAGGCTGAGGCAGGAGAATCACTTGAACCCAGGAGGCAGAGGTTGTGGTGAGCCGAGATCGTGCCATTGCACTCTAGCCTGGGTGAGAGTGAGACTCTCAAAACAAAACAAAAAAAAAGATGTTTTTGAGAGCACATTCACGTAACTTTTATTACAATATATTGTTCTACTTGTTCTATTTTAGTATTAGTTATTAATGTTAATCTCTTGCTGTGCCCAACTTATATATTAAATTTCCTCATAGGTATGTATGCACATACATATAGGAAAAGACAGGCTGTATAGGGTTTAGTACTACCTGTGGTTTCAGGCATCCTCTGGGGGTCTTAGAACATATCCCCCACACATGATGGGGGCTACTGTATTTTAGCCCATGTTGGAAAGCACGGTGATTTGGAAGCACTGAAGCACCGGGGCTTAGTGATGTGTATTCTTTCAAATATACTAAAATGCTCTGTTTTCTCTTTGAAACAGAAGAATAGGAAGAACAGTTGTGTTATGAGTCAGGAAAACTTATCCCGTAGCTATTTGGCATGGTATAGTATGGAAGTCTTCACTTTGGCGCGAGGGGAATCTCTAAGGAGTACATATGCTTGGATAATTCTTTTTTTTTTTCTTTTTTGCTTGGGTAACTCTTAGGCAATCCATTTCCAGGTCTTCATATTCCACAGATACTCTTTCCTAATCCATGTGTTTAATCCACGTGTTTTCAAAACACGTGGATTAAAATTTTACTTATTTTTTTGAGGATCAGAGTGTATTATGGATAAGGTAGTTAAAACTTATTTTATCAAACCATACCATGAAACACTCCAGTTGCAGTCAATCCTCACAATATTTCATCTTATAAAATACCGTTTCTATCTGCTGTTAACAAGAAATAAGGAATACATTTATGATGAAAAATTATAGATGTCAATTTAAAGATGTGCAGGGAGTTACGTAGTTAAAAAAAATTATTTGGGTCTAGGAACAGAAGAGTTTGAAGACCATTGATGTAGTATATAGGAGAATTGAAACATTTTATTTTCTTTTTTCTCTTTTTGGGGGGAATGTCGGAATGTCGCTTCATTGCCCAGGCTGGAGTGCAGTAATGTGATCACTGCAACCTCCGCCTTCAGGGTTCAAGCAATTCTCCTCCCTCAGCCTCCTTAGTAGCTCAGATTGTTATAGGCATGTGCTGCCACGCCCAGCTAATTTTTTGTATTTTTAATAGAGACAGTGTTTCACCATGTTGGCCAGGCTGGTCTCGAACTCCTGACCTCAGGTGATCCACTGGCCTTGACCTCCCAAAGTGTTGGGATTACAGGCGTGAGCCACTGTGCCTGGCGACTTGAAAACATTTTTTAAAACCCACGTCATTCTGATTTCAGCTAAATTTTATTCATAATTATTTATAATTATTCATAATGTATTCATACATTTTACTCATATATTTTTGAGGATGGTAGAGGTTTGAATCAAAACCTATATTTAAGATCAAGGTTGTGGCTGTTCATGGTGGCTTGGGCCTATAAATCTAGCACGTTAGGAGGCCGAGGTGGGTGGGTTGATTGAGCTTAGGAGTTTGAGACCAGCCTGGGCAATATGGCAAAACTCCATCTCTACAAAAAAAAAAATACAGAAATTAGCCAGATGTAGTAGCCCACACCTGTAGTTTGAGCTACTCAGGAGGCGGAGGTGAGAGGATTGCTTGAGCTTGGAAGGTCGAGCCACTGCACCCCAGCCTGGGCAACAGAGCAAGACACTGTCTCAAAAAATCAAAAAAAGATCAAGGTTGTAGTACAACCAGTAAATTTCTTCAACATTAATTATCCCTTTTCTCTTGAAATTCTTTAGAAAAGTGGTATGACAATGAATTTTTCATGTGGGTATTTCTTCTATATGTATTTTTTTTTTTTTTGAGACAGAGTCTTGCTCTGTTGCCCAGGCTGGAGTGCAATGGTACGATCTCGGCTCACTGCAAGCTCCGCCTCCCGGGTTCACGCCATTCTCCTGCCTTAGCCTCCCGAGTAGCTGGGACTACAAGTGCCCGCCACCATGCCTGGCTAAATTTTTTGTATTTTTAGTAGAGACGGGGCTTCACTGTGTTAGCCAGGATGGTCTTGATCCCCTGACCTCCTGATCCGCCCACCTCGGCCTCCCAAAGTGCTGGGATTACAGGCGTGAGCTACCATGCCCAGCCATTTCTTCTACATTTTTATTTTTTGGCATCTTTCAATGGTCCTGTACAATTCTTGGCATATGGTTATTATTATGATCATCATTACTATTAGTATACTACCATCTGTTAAGCTCCTGCCTAAACTTTATAATTTTCATACTTCAGTAAAAATATCTGCAGACTAGGATGCTGAGACTCAGATAGGCTGGATTTCTTGCCCAAGATCAGGTGAGGATTAATTCAAATCCAGGTCTTTCTCTCTTCTACCCCACGCTGCTTCTTTAGCAATAGGAGCTGAATTGGTGAATTGGTGGATTTGTGAATAGGAGGTGAATTGGTGAATTAGTGGATTTGTGAATAGGAGGTGAATTGGTGAATTAGTGGATTGGTGAATAGGAGGTGAATTGGTGAATTTGTGAATAGGAGGTGAATTGGTGAATTGGTGGATTAGTGAATAGGAGGTGAATTGGTGAATTAGTGGATTGGTGAATAGGAGGTGAATTTGGTGGATTTGTGAATAGGAGGTGAATTGGTGAATTGAACAGACCCTGCCGTCCCCTGCTAGGTCTCTCAGGCAGCCAGGGCCTCCCCATAAAGAATACAGAGTACCAAACACTAACATGTATACCTTTTATTTAATGGTTGTCTTATTTTTTAAATTATTGTTATTATTATTGAGATGGAGCTTTGCTCTTGTCGCCCAGGCTGAGTGCAATGGCGTGATCTTGGCTCGCTGCAACCTCTGCCTCCTGGGTTCAAGCCGTCCTCCTGTCTCAGCCGCCCAAGTAGCTGGGATTACAGGTGACCATCACCACGCCCAGCTCATTTTTGTATTTTTAGTAGAGACGGGGTTTCACCATGTTGGCCAAGCTGGTCTCAAACTCCTGATCTCAGGTGATCCACCCGCCTCGGCCTCTCAAAGTGCTGGAATTACAGGCGTGAGTCACTGCGCCCGGCCTGGTTGTCTTCTTAAAAGTGAACAAAAAGCACGATATTAATATTTACATTTATACTGCATTTATATTCAGTAGATGTTTACTGAATACCTAGTGGGAATTAAGCCTCTCCTCAACTCATCAAATATATAGCAACAGAAATAAGACCTCCAGAGGACGATAACACGTGACAAGTGTGTGTATTTAGTGCCACTAGTGACAGCTGCAAGGAGCACTGGGAGTTCTCTCTATGGGCAGAGATCCCTCTGATGAGGAGAGAAATGTCTTTTTAGAGTGAGCAGTTTTGAGAATGGGTAGAATTTCAGTTAGTGGTACAACAGCAGTGGGCTCAGGGGAAGGGAAAGATGCCAGAAATGGCGGGACTGTTCCCAATGAAGCAGACGTACCTGTGCCTGGAACTGCCCCCAAGCAGGTGGCCAGCAGTTCAAAGGGCCACCCAAGTGAGTGTCCATTTCCAAGGGAGTCGACTTGGTGAGTAGGGTACGGTAGCATGAATTTCTAGGTGGAAACTGTGGATGCTTGGAGTTAACAAGTGATGGAAGTTGGGCAGTATATTCAGGCCCCAGCAAAGAAGGAGCCCAGTCGGAGGGTGGTGGGGAGGAGGTTGGTCGTGGAGGGCTCATTACACACAGAGGAATGGGCAGCAGAACAAAGCAATGGCTGCCTCACGCACTGCTACCTGGTCAAAGAGGCCTCAGGAACAGGCCTTGGGCATGAGACAAAACTAAGCCTCGAAGTAGAAAGTCCTCAGTCCCTGCACAGAAACAGGACTGTGGGAGTCAGTGACCAATGGGCAGAGAGTCAGTCTTAATACTAACACCACCAAACAGCCAGCTAGGTGCTTAGCCACTGCACAAGTCTGTTCTGGCTACTGAGACACAGGCATGTCTCCACAAATACCTATTTTCTGTGCCTGACACTAGGGTAACCGGAAATTGTATATGGGAGCTTTTTTCACTTCAGTTTTTTAGGCCATCCAAACCGTGCCCCAAACAACCTCATTGATTATAAATTATTTTAGTCAACAGGTGAAGATGGCTGTTATTTCCGTCTCCACACACCAGCTTCCCACATTATGAATCCAACTGCAGCAGTTGCAGGACAGATAGAAATATATTACACACAAGCAAATTGCTGCTCCGTTATAAAGCCTCCTGTCACATACTGTCTGGCATCAGAAATGAGTCTGTGCACAACCTGATATCTCCGGGGGTAGAGGGGAAGCTGTCAGTTAGCCAAAAGACTGATGGAAACCATTTAAGAGAGGTCAAATTGACTGGCTTAGGAAGATGTGCAGAGGGTGGGCAAGATCCTCCTGCTGTTCGTGCTGTAATGCTATCTTTCATTGGCTTTCAAGGCTTCCAGAGCCAGTACCCTCAGGCGCCAGCCACTCGACAGGGGAAAACAAGAGCTTACCTGCGGTTATTTCCCTAAAATCTGATTCCGAATTGTCAACTGCTCCAACCTCTAAACAGTACTACTTGAAACAATCAAGATATCTTCCAGGTAAGTGGAGCAAAGAAAATGTTTGCTGCTAACTAGAGTATAGATAGGTCAGGTTCAAGTGTCTTGGACTCTCCGAAGAAAGGGCACCCGTGAACTAAAAAGCCTAATCACAGAGCTCTTTAGTCGTCAGTCTGTCACCAAGGACTTTTCTGGACCTCCTGTTTCTACCACTGGTAGAATTCTGCTCAAGAAATGCTTAGGAGCAAAAATCAAGATGACGAATATGCTTCCAGAAAACACAAAGCCCCACCCCTCGCCAAAGCTATGCATTCAGCAAATCCTAAATTTTATTAAACCAATTCTGTGTCCCCATAACAACTTTTCATAAAATATAGATTTTCAAATGCTCTTTCCTAAATGAGCTGGTGTACTTTTTTTTTTTTTTTGGAAACAGACTCTCGCTCTGTCATCCAGGCTGGAGTGCAGTGGTGGGACCTCAGCTCACTGCAACCTCCGTCTCCCAGGTTTAAGCAATTCTCCTGCCTCAGCCTCCTGAGTAGCTGGGACTACAGGCATGTGCTACCATGCCTGGCTAATTTTTTGCATTTTTAGGAGAGATGGTGTTTCACCGTGTTAACCAGCATGGTCTCAATCTCCTGACCTTGTGATCCGCCCGCCTCAGCCTCCCAAAGTGCTGAGATTACAGGCGTGAGCCACCATGCCCAGCCCATCTGGTGTACATTTTTAAAAGATTCTGCCTGCTCGGAAGAGCATGCTGGGAACTCAGGACAGACAAGGACACTGGTTAAGAGGCCACTGCTTATGTCCAGATGGGATGGGGTAATGTAAATGGCTGCTTCCAGAGTGGAAGTAGCAGAGGTACAAGTGAGCAGAATCTACACGTTTTGGTAGTGGAACCAATAGGACTTGTGGGTAGATTGGTGGAAAGAATTAGTGGCAGCATCCGAGGTTTTGACTTGGGAACTGGGTGAATGGTGGTGACTTTAGCTGAGAAAGGTAAATTAGAAGAGGAGAGGAGTGTGGAGGTAGAGAATGGAGAGCTGAGTGCGGGATGCCTGTTAAACATCTTAGTTGATCCACCTAATGGGCACCTGGGTATATGAATCTGGAGCTTGGGAGAAAGATCTGGACAGACAGTGGGGAGTTTATCATGTGCCTGCAAATAGCATTTTCTCCTCTAAATCCAAGTGAAAAGGAAATGTTTCAATTCAGTTTAATCTAAAAGGGAATCCATTTTTAAATCATCCTGTCTCTGCGCAGATACATCTTTAATCCAGTGAGGGAGAAAATGATCTTTTTCTTTTGTGTTTTTGTGGGCATGGTCATTTATAACTTTCTAAACACATGAGTGGGCCACCGTGTTTATCTGAGGAAGATTTGCTTTTCACATCTAAGTCTCCTGAAGCAAGACACAGTCTCCATTTCCCAGAAGCTTGTTTGGGAAGATGGGGTATGGCAAACAAGAGAAAAGGTTGAGATTGGATTGCCAGCAAAAGATGGATCCGTAACACACTTCCCTGTGTACCTTTTAGGCAAACATAGAAATTTCAGTTCTAAGAATCCAGCTGGGGCTGGGCACAGTGGCTCACACATGTAATCCTAGCACTTTGGAAGGCCGAGGTGGGTGGATCACCTGAGTTCAGGAGTTCGAGACCAGCCTGGCCAACATGGCGAAACCCCGTCTCTACTAAAAATACAAAAATTAGCTGGACATGGTGGCGGGCACCTGTAATCCCAGCTACTCGGGAGGCTGAGACAGGAGAATTGCTTGAACCCAGAAGGCGGAGGTTGCAGTGAGCCGAGATGGCACCACTGCACTCCAGCATGGGCAACAGAGCAAGACTCTGTCTAAAAAAAAAAAAGAATTCAGTTGGGACCCTCTCTTGCTGTTAGTAATTGGGGAAAGGAAAAAAAATGAAACCAAGCAGAGGGTTTAGAAATGAATGGGATAGAAAACAGAAGGCATAGTGGGTGTATAGGTTTAGCCACAGGTGTTGAATAAGTTGATGTAAACTTACAGGGGGTGTATTGAGGCTTTAGGACTGCAGTCCTGTACTGATTTGTGAGGAGGAAGACACTAACATATTTGAGAGGTTGAAGAAATTGGCATAAAGCCATCAAGGACAGAGCAAAAACTTTATAACCCTGCGTATTTGGAGATCTAAATAGGTTAAATACTTTTGCGTGTGTGTGTGTGTGTGTGTGTGTGTGACAGACAGAGTTTTGCTCTTGTCGCCCAGGGTGGAGTGCAGTGGCGTGATCTTAGCTCACTGCAACCTCCGCCTCCTGGGTTTCAGTGATTCTCCTGCCTCAGTCTTCCAAGTAGCTGGAATTACAGGCGCTCATGACTATGTCTGGCTAATTTTTATATTTTTCAGTAGAGACGGGGTTTCACCATGTTGGCCAGGCGGGTCTTGAACTCCTGACCTCAGGTGATCCACCCACCTCGCTTCCAAAGTGTTGGGATTACAGGCGTGAGCCACCACACCCAGCCCTATGATATTTTTTGTCGTCGTTGATGTAAGCACGTCTTTAGGCTCTGTGGCACCAGAGTGAGACATGGGAAGTGGGCCTGGAAAAACCTGGGTCTTGTTTGTGTATGTCTGGATAGAGAAACAATGAAAAAATGTATATGTATCTTATTGGTTGCATATGCCAAATTAATTTACAAGTATCTTATTAAAATAGTTAATGAGGCCAGGTGCAGTGGCTCATGCCTGTAATCCCAGCACTTTGGGAGGCTGAGGCAGGCGGATCACTTGAGATCAGTAGTTCGAGACCAGCCTGTCCAACATGGCAAAACCTCGTCTCTACTGAAAATACAAAAATTAGCTGGGCGTGGTGGTGCGTGCCTGTAATCTCAGCTACTCAGGAGGGTGAGGCAGGAAAATTACTTGAACCCGGGAGGCAGAGGTTGCAGTGAGCCGAGATTGCACCATTGCATTCCAGCCTGGGTGACAGAGTGAGACTCTGTCTCAAAAAAAAAAAAAAAAAAAAAAAAAATCTACTTTTGACCTTAAAGTCTGTATTCTTTCTTCCTCATGAGGTCAAACTTTCCTGACTGTCATTTCACCTACAGTTTGAAAACTGTTCTATTTGTGACATTATGCTTTGATTCTTGAAAGTGAGAGAAAATAAGTTATTCTAACATTTTTGTATAGGAAGTTGTCATATCATGACACTCACAGAATGAGAAATCTGCCCATATTTCTTGACAATCAGACTGTAAACATGGCAGGCCTCATTTCGGCTGCTTCATCTTAGATGGCTGTGAAGAGGAGCTTAGAAACAGAATGAGGCATTTCAGCAGTTCTCCATGCAGGTTTGCGTGTAGAGGAGCAGGATCTCTTACAGAGGAGGAACTGGTAACACAGGAGGTGAAGGCGGATGAGTGAGGGACTGAAGACCTTAGGAAGGTGGGAGAGGAGTTGGGATCAAGACCAGGGTTGAGGCACACTTTTGAAAGCAGCAGAAATCCTTGTGTTGTAATCTTTAGATACCTGTGTGTAAATTTTGGTGTTGAAATCATGAGAGAGAAAAAAAGGATTTCTGAGAGAGTTTTAATCTGACTGCAAAAGCAGGGATGGAAGGAAATTTCCGAAACATATGTTCATGGGAGATACTTTTTACTTTTTTTTTTTTTTAATCAGTACATTTTGCTGGGTAAGGTGGCTCACGCCTGTAATCCCAGCACTTTGGGAGGCCAGGGTGGGTGGATCATGAGATCAAGAGATCCAGACCATCCTAGCCAACATGGTGAAACCCCATCTCTACTGAAAATACAAAAATTAGCTGGGCGTGGTGGTGCGTGCCTGTAATCCTAGCTACTCAGGAGGCTGAGGCAGGAGAATTGCTTGAACTCGGGAGGCGGAGGTTGCAGTGAACTGAGATCACACCACTGCACTCCAGCCTGGCAACAGAGTAAGACTTCGTCTCAAAAACAAAACAAAAACAGTACATTTCACTGACTGAAATATCGCAAATCGATATTTTCTTACTTATAGAAGTGAGTGGTAGGAAAGACTACTGCAAACTTTGTCAAAGGATATTTATCCTTTGAGCCAAAGCACCCTGTTTTCATAGTTCTGCTTCCTAATGTGGTTTTCAAAAATTTATTTCAGGGTATCTGAGACCTGTTTGATAAATTTCCTTTTTAACCAGAAATCTAACAAAGTCTGCAAATATTTGGGATCAGAAGTAAGGCTATAATTGAGATTTAAAAAGTAAACTCAATTACAAATAATTGTGTGGTGTGTAAACTTGAGCCTTCCTGTCATCTGTTGGCATTCATTGTTTTGAAGATGACCTCTCTGGAGTTGGATGAAATTTAAAACTAGAATCAGGCTCAGTTCAGTCACTTGGACAGACATTTATTGAGCACCTATTGTGAACCAGCAACTATGGAAAGAATAGAAACCCAAATAAGAGGCAATCTTTGGCCGGGTGCAGTGGCTTATGCTTGTAATCCCAGCACTTTGGGAGACCAAAGCCGGTGGATCACTTGAGGTCAGGAATTTGAAACCAGCCTGGCCAACATAATGAAACCCCATCTCTACTAAAAATACAAAAAAATTAGCTAGGCGTGGTGGCGGGTGCCTGTAATCCCAGCTACACAGGAGGCTGAGGCAGGAGAATTGCTTGAATCCGAAAGGCAGAGGTTGCAGTGAGCCGAGATCATGCCATTGCACTCCAGCCTGGGCAACAAGAGCGAAACTCTGTCTCAAAAAATAAAAAAATTTAAAAAAAGAAGCAATCCTTGACATTTTTTTATGATCCATAGTTACTTTTGTAATTGAGTATCTTCAGGAATAAAAAATACTAATATCTTTTGGGGACCCCTCTTTACCCTAAAGCCAAGTATAAGAGGTCTTATTAAGCATCAACTTTTAGGATTATGGGAGCTCTAGAAATGTACCATATAATTGCAGGGCAGCATGACATTATACTGCAAGGATTGGCAGATCTGTGACACTGGCCTTCAGGAAGGAGACGCAAGAGTCATAGTTATTGACCACCTACTACTAACCGGCTGTGTACTTGGAGCAAGATTCTGTTTTCTGTAACTTACAATGGGACTGCACCATCTGTCAGCTCACTCTGTAAGCCTTAGGTACTTTAATTATCACAAGGTAGTTGCAAATACAGTACGCAATGGAAATGCTAATCTCTCAGCGGTGCCCTCTGGTCTCACCCCCTGCTCCTACAGCCAGGACTCTGGGCATGAATCGATGCCACCACTGCTGGCCAGAAGAGCAGCTCACTCCATAGCACTTCTTTTTTTGTTTTTGTTTGTTTGTTTGTTTGTTTTGTTTTGTTTTGTTTTTTGGAGATGAAGTGTTGCTCTGTTGCCCAGGCTGGAGTGCAGTGGTACCATCTCGGCTCACTGCAACCTCCGCCTCCTGTGTTCAGTTGATTCTCCTGCCTCAGACTCCCAAGTAGCTGGGACTGCAGGCGCACGCCACCACGCCCAGCTAATTTTTGTGTTTTTAGTAGAGATGGGGTTTCACCATGTTGGCCAGGATAATTGTGAACTCCTGACCTCAAGTGATCCAGCTGCCTCAGCCTCTCAAAGTGCTGAGATGACAGGTGTGAGCCACCGCACTTGGCCTCCATAGCACTTTTGAAACTGATCTGTGGATCCTTCTCTCTTCCCATTCATTATTTACCATCTTTCCTCCCACCCTGTTTATTCAACGTCCTGTGTCATTTCTACATTAGCCTCTGCTACAGCATTTTCACTTCCTTAACACGGCACACAAAATCCTATGTGACCTGCCCCTCCTTCCCTCTCTAGCCTCATTTTATACCACCCCGTGTTCTTGCTGCACCCTTACTGGCCATCTGTGAGTTCTTTCGCATCTCAGGTCCTCTGCCCAAACTGTTGCCTCTTCAAGGATCACACCTCCCCACCCCTTAAAACCCATTTATGCCTAGTGTTCCATTATTGGAACGCTAAACATGTGGTAGTTACATCCTACTGCTCAAGGTCATTGCCAAGGCCTGATTGCTAAATTTCAAAAACTTGCGACCTCAGGCATAAATGGGGGTTAACCGTGATTCATATTTCAGCTTAAAGTTGCTTATTTAAAGAAAGACTGGCTGAGTTGCTTCTGTTATTTGCCCCCTCCACCCCAGATTCTTCTAAATATTATGCACACTGCTCATTATGTATTTACTTAGTTATAACTAAAACCGTCTCCCTTCTCATTAGATTCTAAGAACCAAAGAGTAGAAACTGGTCTATTTTGTTTACCACTTTTTCTCCAGTGCCACACACTGCCTGGCACTGGTAGGTGCTCAGTAAATATTTGCTAACTGACTTTTTTATGTCCTTTGAGGCAAGGGATTATCATCATATAATGATATCTATCATTATAATATCAAATTATATTAATTTATGCTTCTTCCTAAGGGCGTTTGGTGTGTAGGAGGTACCCAGTGAAAACTTATAAACAAATAAATAACAAAATTCTAGGACAGGATATATCTATTTCCAACAAATTGGAATATTTATCTTAAATAGACCTTGAGGCCAGGCATGGTGTCTCACACCTGTAATCCCAGCACTTTGGGAGGCTGAGGCGGGCAGATCACCTGAGGTCGGGAGTTGGAGACTAGCCTGACCAACATGGAGAAACCCTGTCTCTACTGAAAATACAAAGTTAGCCGGGCATGATGGCACATGCCTGTAATCCCAGCTACTCGGGAGGCTGAGGCAAGAGAATCACTTGAACCTGGGAGGTGGAGGTTTTGGTGAGCTGAGATCGTGCTGTTGCACTCCAGCCTGGGCAACAAGAGCAAAAGTCTGTCTAAAAAAAGAAAATGACCTTGAATTAAACTAATTATCTTCAATAATTTACTTACCTTCCTTTTACTTTAAAATACTTTAAAAAAAAAATAAAGCCTATTTAGGAATATTGCCAAGGCCAACTGGATTAACAACATCATTTAAATATTCAGAACTCATTCTTTGTTGAACTATAGTTATGAGAACTGTGTTCACACCGATTTTTAATGTTTTACCCCCCACCTTGCACTTCCTTTTTGGGTAGGTAATTTTTTTTTTTTTTTTTTCTTCTGACAAAGTCTTGCTCTATAGACCAGGCTGGATGCAGTGGCACCGTCTCAGCTCATTGCAACTTCTACCTCTTGGGTTCAAGTGATTCTTGTGCCTCAGCCTCCCGAGTAGCTGGGATTACAGGCAGGTACCACGACACCCAGCTAATTTTTTTGTATTATTTTAAGCAGAGGCGGGGTCTTGCCATGCTAACCAGGCTGGTCTCAAACTCCTGACCTCAGGCGATCCACCTGCCTCGGCCTCCCAAAGTGCTGGGATTACAGGCGTGGGCCACCATGCCCAGCCTAAAGATGTTTTTAATATGAGTAATTGCCACCAAGTGCATCTTTATGGTCAGGTAGTTGCCTTTTTTTGTCTTTTTTTTTTTTGAGATGGAATCTCGCTCTGTTGCCCAGGCTAGCGTGCAGTGGCACGATCTCGGCTCACCACAACCTCTGCCTCCCAGGTTCAAGCGATTCCCCTGCCTCATGCCCAGCTAATTGTTGTATTTTTAGTAGAGACAGGGTGTCACTATGTTGGCCAAGCTGGTCTCGAACTCCTGACCTCGTGAGCCACTCGCCTCAGCCTCCCAAAGTGCTGGGATTACAGGCATGAGCCATTGTGCCCAGACAGTAGTTGCCTATTATAATTTGATTCGTAGTTTTATTAGGGAAGTTAAATCCTTTAAAGAAAGGGAAATTACTTGCCTGATGAAGTGTTTCCTTAGAGAACTGATAATGGGTAACTTTTGAGGCTCAGTATTTCTGGTTTCAAAATAAGGACATTATTACATATCTCATAAATATTAAACCTTTCTAAGGAATTCAGCTTGCAAAAAGCAAAAGCTCAACTGCCTGGAGACAGTTTTGACTTCCTAAATCAATGGAAGTCCCCAGTGATTATTTCTGCACTAGATAAAGAAAACTCTCCGTGAATGACCTAAAGGCATAGAATGGGCAAGTTCACTCTAATTTAATTATCAGTGAAAAGAAAACAAGCTCAAGAAGTTTTCAAGTCTCTTAAGAACAGGTTGCCACAACTCCCTTTGACCACCAGTATCACAGCCCAAGGCTGAATGGACATTTCACAGATTTCAGAAAATCATAAGTAATTAAAACTGTCCTTTTTCCAAGTACATTTGCAATGCCTTCTTTCTGGTGCACAGGGCCTAAACTTTCCGTTTTACTGTGTCTCACATACAAGTAAGTGCTACAGGCGGAGCTTCGTATCTCCGAACTTCAAAGGTTTTCCTGAGTTCTTAGTCACGTGTCTGTTTTCCCTGCTACACCAAGGGTCGGGCCAAGAATATACGCTCAAAACAAGTGACATGAAAATGTCGTGTTGGGTCGGGTGTGGTGGCTCACACCTGTAATCTCAGCACTTTGGGAGGCCAAGGTGAACGGATCACTTGAGGCCAGGAGTTTGAGACCAGCCTGGCCAACATGGTGAAATCCCCTCTGCTAAAAATACAAAAATTAGCCAAGCATGCTGCTGTTGGGCGCTTGTAATCCCAGCTACTCGGGAGGCTGAGACACAAGAGTCACTTGAAGCCAGGAGGTGGAGGCTGCAGTGAGCCGAGATCACACCATGGCACTCCAGCCTGGGCGACAGAGAGAGACCCTGTCTCAAAAAAAAATAGAAAAAATGTCGTGTTGTTGAAGAAAAATTTTTATGACACCTCATTTTTTACAAGACCCTTAGCAAGAACATCAAATGTTATTATATTATAGAAAATGTCTTCTGCCTATAAAGTACACTGTCAGCATCCCAGGGGGTTGTGCTAAGGGCTTCATCAGAAAGCAAGTATCTGCTACAGTTTCACATAGATTTATTTCCATTCTCCTGTCCAAGGTATTTCTAGTCTTTGTTTGAATGTATTACACACGTTTCCTTTAAGTTTATGATCCGCTCTAACCTTTGAAGCGGCTGCTTTGTTCTTCTCAGGTGTGAATCCCAAGAACATGTCCTTGATGGCCAATGGAAAGGAAATAAACCCCCACACTTGGAACAACCAGTTATTCCCCAAGTCACTGGGACCCGTCGGGGCAGAACTCGCTTTCAAAAGGAGCAATGCAGGTAACGCAAGAACACAAACTGTACATGTACGTGGTTTTCCTTTATAGATGTCTACTTTTAAATATACTGCAGCGCTCTTCCAACCAAGGTACATGTGCACTGGGGAGACACACCAAGGTTTTCCGCCACACTCTGCCTAGGGGGAGCCCTGCTCTGCTGGAGCAGTCATGGAGTGGTAACACTGCCTCTTCAGTAAAACTGTTTTCAGCCGGATGAGCGTGGTGGTTCACACCTGTAATCCCAGCACTTTGGGAGGCGGAGGTGGGCAGGTCCCTTGAGCCTAGGAGTTCGAGATCAACCTGGCCAACATGGTGGAACTGTGCCTCTATATTAAAAAGTACAATAATAAAAAAAAGAAAAGGTTTTCCCATTAATTCTTGAGTACAGCTAGTTTTAAGGATATTCTCAACCTCCATCTGAGTCTTTCCTGAGATAGGTCTGCCCTAGCAGGGAGTCTCTATTCTGAAAAGAAGACTTCTCACTGGCTACCATGGTGCGTTTTCTTTCTCCTCAAAACGTAAAAATATCTGGGGTGCCAATGAAACGGAAATTCTGGTATGTTGATGTCACTGTTGAGAGGGTCAGTAACTTTGATGACTGAGGAACAGATCCTTTTTAAAGTCGGGGAGTCTTAACAGTTCCCAGCATTTAGAAAATTGAAGGAGGACCTGCTCGAGTTCTTAGCTGACAGGTAATTTAAAATTTTTTAAAAAAATTTTTTTATGAGATCAATATATGAATATTGGTCTGTAACTTTGAAGAGTGTTTGAAGAATAGAGGGGCAAAGCTATCACAAAACCCCTTTTGTTCCCAACTATCTGTTTGTATTAGCGAGATTTCTTAGTGCTTCTGTCTCCAAAAAGGAAGAAGAAAGAAAAGAGAGAGAAAATGGCCCTGATGCTGTGATTCCAGCAATAAATACTCATTTGTTGATACATGAACTAGTTGAAAATAGCCTCACCTTTCTCATTAAGAGACGCGTTTGCAAAAAACTGAATTTCCGTGTTTAGTAATCAAAATATATAATATTCAACTTTTTGATTAATTATATACAATGAATCATTGTAATTATAACTAACTTTATATAGTGTGTTAATATCCTTATGGTTACAAGAAATTTTTTAAAAATGTAATTTATACATATTTTAGAGTGGCCAATTTTAAGACTTTTAAGCCTAAGATTACATTTGGATAAAATTTGGAAGCTGAAGTATAAATAAAAATATGATTTTAAGGGAAAAAGGAATTAATGTGAAATGTCCAAGTGTCAAAAAGGAACTTGTTCATGTATTTTTATGTCAATATTGGAGGGCGTAAAATCACTAATAGTTTTGGCCAGGCGCAGTGGCCCACTCCTGTAATCCCAGCACTTTGGGAGGCCGAGGTGGGCGAATCACAAGATCAGGAGTTTGAGACCAGCCTGACCAACATGGTGAAACCCCATCTCTACTACAAATACAAAAAAAAAAAAAATTAGCCAGGCATGGTGGCATGCACCTATAAACCCAGCTACTCAGGAGGCTGAGGCAGGAGAATCTCTTGAACCCGGGAAGTGGAGGTTGCAGTGAGCCGAGATCACACCACTGCACTCCAGCCTGGGCGACAGAGTGAGACTGTCTCAAAAAAAATCACTAATAGTTTTATTTTTAAAATGCCTATAGTTACAATATGTCAGAAATAACATCCTTTGGAACTGTTAAACTTATGATTAAAAATTTTAAATATCAACTTAAAAGTGTGTAAAGAGGTACAGTTTGTTTTTAATGTAGGTGATACTGGATCAAAAAACTTTGACAATTACCATTATAATAAGTGAGTAGTTTAGTGAGATATTCTGATGTGACATCAATACTCAATACATTTGGACTTTTTACAAGTTTTCCAGATTCTTTAAAAACTCAGCTTATCCATTTAATGTTGCTGAGGTGTCATACACTGCAGCACTGTAATTTACTTATTTTTTCTTCAGATAATTAAAAATAATATTCACTGAACCAACCAATTACACAAATTCAATTAAATGACAGTAGAACAACTTTGAGTCTCGGGGAATATACAGTTGGCATCAAATAAATGCTGTGATAACACATGGGGACATTTTTGCATTTTTAAGGGTTCTTTCTGGGTCTTTTCATTAATCATCTAACCCATTTTTTCTCTGCTTTTCCTAACACTTTCTCCTTACTATTATTCTTTCTTTCCATCTGTCTTCTCTTTAGAAGAAAGCATAATTAAACCAATCGAAAAACTATCATGCAATGAAACTTTTCCTGAAAAATTAGAGGACCTACAAGGTAATTTCTGGGTGTCAGATGAATGCAATTTGTTCTTTGAATCTCTTGTCTAATTCTCTTCTCAACACATGCCCCAATCTTGACATAAAAGACCAAGATGATCTGCTTTTAGAAGTCAAATCAGGACTAGGACAAAGAAAAGCATTCTGTCTCATCAAGAATATCTTCCTTCAGTACTTGAGATTTTAAGATGAATATGCTCTCAAAAGGTTATATGCTGGTCTTCTTAAATTAATTATGGACATTTATAGAAGAAATCAAGCAAATAATTCTAATGAAAAGAATCAAAAGAATATTTTCTAATTTTGTGATCTATATTCTTGGAATTTTTTTTCAAAGTTCTGAAATTCATTTATTAAGCATGAACAACCACTTTTTAAAAAAGGTTAGTCTGAGTGCGGTGGCCCACACCTGTAATCCCAGCACTTCAGGAGGCCGAGCCGGGCAGATCATGAGATCAAGAGATCGAGACTATCCTGGCCAACATGGTGAAACCCCATCTCTACTAAAAATACAAAAATTAGCCGGGTGTGGTGGCGTGCGCCTGTAATCCCAGCTACTCGGGAGGCTGAGGCAGGAGAATCGCTTGAACCCGGGAGGCAGAGGTTGCAGTGAGCTGAGATTGCGCCACTGCACTCCAGCCTGGCAACAGAGCAAGACTCCATCTCAAATAAATAAATAAAAATTAAAAAAAAAAAAAAAGGTTAACTGCGTTAATAGAGATGGTGGATTTCCTAGGGGTTCAGTGTCACTGGTTTCAACAGTGCTAACCACTGGCTCCAATCTGAAAATTCATAGCATACAAGGTACTTCAAATAATAAGCCAAAATAATTCAAGAAGACCTAATTTTCTGTTCATTTTTTTCCCCTAACAACTTCTTTCTCCAATAAGAAGCATCATATAAGTGTTCAATGCATGAATCCTAGAGTCTGACGTATCCCCATTTCGTCACTCACCAGCTTTTGTGGTTTGGGACAAGTAGTTTAAGCCAGCTTTCCCGTCCGTAAAATGGACGAAATTTCCTTAGGTATTCTTACATAACCCTACCTGGAATTTTGCCACATGCTAAGCATTTAATACGTGTTTGCTCTGCTGATGAGGATGAGAGCAAGAGACATGACTGAAGCTGCTAGTGAATCCAATCACTGTTTTGAATTTCCTTCCTCAAATTTTTCTGAAGTAAAAGGTTAAAGTAGGCAGCAGCTGAACTTATGCAAAATTCAGTAGGGTTAAACATGTATAGACTGAGAGCAATGTGCTTACTGTATACAATCCTTTAGGGGCTGATAACGTAATATTGCACTTTAACATTTGTTGCTTCAAGAGCAGACACCTGTTGAAGCCTGATATACCCTGAGAGACCTCAGGGACACAAGAGCCCAGTGTTGAGACATGTGAACAGATAACACTATGGAGAAAACACTCTGTTTACTGAACAGTGCTTTGAAACCACGAGGGTGATCAGAGCCCCGTTTCGCCTTCTAGAGATAAACTGTCTCCATGCAGAGCTAGCTCCACCTGTCACTTCCGGTTGTCGTTTGTCTTCAGTCTGCTTCCTGCCAGTGCAGCAGCTCCGCTAGATCTTGACATCCCAGTGGCCAGATCCCATGGGCAATGCTGATCCCATCCAAGTCCTCTGCCTCATCTCCCATTCCTTTTTTTCACACTCAGTGTGTATACTCTTGGATTTCCATATCCTGTTCCTCCTACCACCCCCCTCTCTACCTGTTCTCTTCCTCCATGGGATCCTTTTCTCTCCTGTCCCTTAATGCTGATGTTCCTTGGGGGTCTACTCCAGGTCTCTGCGCATTCGCAGTCCCTCTGAGCTGGCTCCTCCAAGCCCACAACTCTGTAAGCACCACACCCTGATCATTACCAGTCTCCACGCCTGCCCACCTGCCCTCTGCCTGCCACAACTTGAATGTCCTCCGGGTACCGTGTCTTTCCCCCAATCCTCATTCTCCTCCTATGTTGCTATCCATGGAGAGTGCACCCAGTCACCTGAGCTACAAACTTAGGAGTTTATGTTCCCCTTTCCCTGCCACCTCCACCCCGTGAACCTGCTTCGTTCCCTTCTTCTTCACCCTCTGCCACGGTTGTGGTTCAGACCCTCATCGTCTCTCATTTCAGCTATTAGCAGTGACTTCCTGACTGGTCTCCAGACTCTAGATTTTTCCTCATCAATGCATCCCTATGCTACCGCCAGACTGAGCATGCACCGATAGTGATGATGATGATGGTGACGATAATGATGGCAATGATGCTAGCTGACATTTAATGAGTACAGATTCTATGCCACGTGCTCTGAAGAGTCTCATCAATCCCTACAATAACCCTACGAGAATAGGTCCACTTACAACCATTTTACAGAACAAGACAGACACAGAGAGCACTTCAGAGATGGGGGCTTCGCAGTGGGAAACATAGCCCCATATTAAGAAGCGGGGTCGTGAGAAAGCCTGGCATGTTCAGGGTGAACTGAACACCCCTGGGCTTTGAGTTCAGCCTCCAGCTCAGTCTCTTACTAACTGTGAGAAGTTAGGCAAGTTACTCAACATCAGAGAGCCACACGATATGGATAATAATGTGGATAATAATGTGATCTCAGAGGGCTGTTGTATGGATGGAATAAGAATATCTGTAACAAGCACAGCATAGTGCCTAGAACATAGTAGATGCTGAAAAGTAGTATTTAGAAGTAATGGGGGAGTATTCAATGTTATTCTACTGTGCCTAAAATATTCACCTTCTGACTGTGAAACTTTATGATATGTCACTAGGAAATCTTGGAAGCTATGCTACTTACAATCAGTCAGGATATATTCCTTCCTTTCTCAAAAAAGAAGTGCAGTCAGCTGGCCAGAGGATCCACTTAGCACCTCTCAATGCAACGGCTTCAGGTAAGAACAACTTTAGATACAGTTTTCTAGATTCCTGAGCAGAAAGGAGCATTTTCCTTTTTAAGTTTATGCAGTCACTTTTCCCAGCAAAGACTTTTAGTCAGCCTCACCTCATTCATGCATTTCTTTTTGTTTTTACCGAAATGTCCTATTTTTCTTCCAAAAATGTGTATTTGAGGGTCTCATAATTATAAGAAGAGCTACCTCTAATTAAGTGGTGACTCTCTGCCAGGCACAGTGTAAAGGGCTTACTGGGATTATATCATGTAATCCTCATGATAACCTGATGACGTAGCTAGATCTCTTCTTTACAAATGACGAAACGTAGGTGAAGTAACTTACCTGAGGTCACACAGCTAGTGGAGCTGGGATAGAAACTCAACTTAATCCACTTCCAAAGAGTGTGCCGTGCTGCACAGTGAGATGTGAGAAAATGCCTTTTCCAGAGCCCTCTGCCCAGGACCTGGCACAGGGTGAAAGCTTAATAAATGCTGACACTCTATTTATGAATGAGTCAACATGAGGTGTGTCTCTACAGTTCCATCTTAGGGCGTAGAAGTTAGTGGTGGCAGGACTTTCACAGCCTGCCTCTTGCTTTGCAGTAGTAGTCGGCGGGGAAGGGTTATCCCTCCACCCTCCAGCGATATGCCTAACTGAGGTAAGCCTGCTCCCCAGTGGCGTGGCATGTGACAGCCACATGTCGGGGTACACACTTAGTGAAGCACCAAAAATAAACATTGAAGCAAATTATTAGAACTTTGATAAGATACCTAATTGTAGTTTAATTTATTTATTTTAACTCTTTTTTATAGAGAAAAAGCCTTGCTCTGTTACCCAGGCTGGAGTGCAGTGATGCAATTATGGTTCACTGCAGTCTCGAATTCCTGGGCTCAAGTGATCCTCCTGCCTCGGCTCTCTAAGTAGATGGGAATACAGGTGCACACCACCACGCCCAGCTAATTCAAAAATATTTTTTTTGTAGGAACAGGGTCTTGCTATGTTGCCAAGCTGATCTTGACTCCTGGGCTCAAGCAATCCTCCCACCTTGGCCTCCCCAGACTCTGGGATTACAGGCATGAGCAACTATGCCTGGCCTGTAGTTTAATTTAAAAGTTGACTCTGAAAGTATGCTTACAGCCTATCCTAACCACTATCTTATATTAAAACCCCTGATTAGATATGCCAGTCTTTAAAGTTCACACTATTGGAGCTAAAAATGTATAAAGCCTGGACTTCTTTAATTTTTTTATTTCTTGCCACAACAGAACTGCTTAAGTAGTACTACAGTTACCTTATCTGTGAAAAGAATTGCTTCATTATCTTTCTGCTGAAACAAAATAAGTAAACATTTTATATACAGCAGTGATATTTATAAAGCCTCAAATATTTAAGCCAGCCTTATAAGTCATTCATTTAGAAATATAAAATTTTATTGATTTTTTTTTTGAGATGGAGTCTTGCTCTGTTGCCCAGGCTGGAGTGCAGTGGTGTAATCTCAGCTCACTGCAACTTCCACCTCCCAGGTTCAAACAATTCTCTTGCCTCAGTCTCCTAAGTAGCTGGGATTACAGGCATGCACCACCATGCCCAGCTAATTTTTTTTGTATTTTTAGTAGAGACGCAGTTTCACCATGTTGATCAGGCTGGTCTTGAACTCCTGACCTCAAATGATCCACCTGCCTTGGCCTCTCAAAGTGCTGGGATTACAGGTGTGAACCACTGTACCCAGCCACATTTTATATTTTTAATATAAAAGCAGAAAATCATAATGTTTCAAATTATTTTGTTACCTAGGTATCTACTCTTATAAATCAAGAGTGGGTCTTTTAAAAAATATTTTTGTAAGATATTGAAGGCCTTTATATATTAATTATTCTATCCAATTAGCTTGCATATTCCTGTTTTCATTTTTTTAAGTAAATACTTTTTCTTAACTTTTCATTTCTTTACTTTGCTTATCAGAATTTTCTCCAGATGGTGATAGGAGGAAAGGTAAAAAATGAAGTAAATATTAATCACTCTCAAGTGGTCAATGCAAATCCTTAGAAAAGCACTGTTCTGTAAGAGATGCGTCTTCCTGTCATCCCAGTTGGGTGACAGTTTCCCACAAGAAAATAAAACCAGGTCATTACCATATTTACTCAACTATTTCCCCCTTCTCCATAGTCTCGTCTTTGCTCTTCTTTCTCCCCTTCAAGTTTGTTTTGTTTTGTTTTTTGTTTTTGTTTTTATTGAGACAGAGTCTTGTTCTGTCACAAGGCTGGAGTGCAGTGGCACAATCTCAGCTCCCTACTGCAACCTCTGCCACCTGGGTTCAAGCAATTCTCCTGCCTTAGCCTCCCTAGTAGCTGGGACTACAGGTGCGCGCCACCACGCCCAGCTAATTTATGTATTTTTAGTAGAGACGGGGCAGGATGATCTCAATCTCTTGACCTCGTGATCTGCCTGCCTCAACCTCTCAAAGTGCTGGGATTACAGGCGTGAGCCACCGCACCCGGCCTCTACCCTTAAATTTTGAGACGGAAAATCCACGTCTTCCTCCCCGCATAATCTCTCCTTCCAAACTTCCTAATACTTCCTTATTCCTTGCCTTGAAACTAACAACAAGGACTTGGAGGACTGACTTCTGTTCTACACAGCACCCTTTAGGATCACTTTAGAAGTGCGGGATCCTGTTTTAAGCACTCTGTGTACATTAACTCATTAATTCTCCCAGGGCTCTATTCCAGGAGGTACTATTATGATCCGCATCTTACACAAGTTTTATATCTTGTTAACAGTTACATCATAGTGGCATCAATTAAATCCATAACTAAAGGCAAACTTCTTTCGTTTAGCACAGATTTTCTACAAGAAGTTAAATGTCCTTGATAGGACAGATCCAGTTTTTAAACGCAGAGCAAGCATTACAAGGCTCACTATCCGGCTCCTGCGGGGCGGTGAGGTGTGGGGTGGTCCCACTAAGGCACAAAAGCATTTCTTGCCCTGCCACGAGATCTGGGCTCCTCTCAGCTGTTGGGTTATTCACCAAAGGTACTTGAGTCCTAAAATTCTAGTATATCTAGGAAAGGAACCCTAAATCTCAACTCTACCCCCGTCTTAGCACAATGATTCCCTCCTGAAAAAGTTTTACAAAATACTGTCCTGAACACAATTTCATTTAAAACCGTTTAGGACTTGACTTGGGTGATGTCATGACCTGGAAAAAGGCTTCTCTTTTTGTTACTCCCCAAAGCTCTCAATTCTTGCCCTCAGAGCCTCACTCATTAGCTTAATGCCATGCTCCCTTTTCCCTCTCGGAATCAGCTGGGCTTATTCCTCTCTCTCGCTCTCTACTCCCCTCCCACGCTGTCTCTTCTACTCCTACTTTCACCTATGGCTCACATGGGTGAGCTCAACTAATTTAGCAGACAGAGGCTCGTTTCCCTTCCAATGGCTGTAACTAAAGGGCTCTTCCTAGAAAACATGGTGCCCTAACTGGCCTTCGTAGACACATTGTCCCGGACTTTGTTAGATAGCTTTTTAGTGGCGTTGACTTTGAGAATTTTAGCCCAGGAAAAGAGTGGAATAGAAGGACCTGTCAAACCATGGAGTGCAGAGCTCTTGGCCTCCCTGCCTCCACCAAACTACACCGCAGCCAGGCTGCCGTCTTACCCAGGGTGTCCACGCTTAGTATCTTGTTCACCCGTGCTGAAGTTAGTAGCTTGTCAGGACCACGTGCTCACAGAATTCCCTCCTACCTCCCAGTTTTACAGGGAAAATTTAAGAAAAACTGCCAACCATGCCAGTAAATATGGGATAGCTAGGGCTGGGGATACAAAATGGTCAGATTCATTTCAGTATTAACAGTTAGAGTTTAATCCAGGAATGGCAGCTACTACACAGTGTGAAGAGATACTTAAACCCCAGATGGAGAAAGCAAACATCCCTCCTCAGATACCTGTGATACCTCAGCTCTCAGTTCGAGGTGAGGAAAGCATGAAGGAAGGACTGAAGAAGGCATCAAAAGTTCTCTGTAAAATGATCTCCTGCTTTATCCTTTGAAATGTTGAAGCAGTTTTAGCTCATAAATTGTTCAGATAACAAATGTTCAAGAAATTTTAAATTTTTCACAAATTTTTAAAAAGTCAGATATATGAATGAAACAACCTTATAATTCAAAGTTTAGGATCCAGCCAGGCGCGGTGGCTCATGCCTGTAATCCCAGCACTTTGGGAGGCCGAGGTGGGCAGATCACGAGTTCAGGAGATCGAGACCATCCTGGCTAACACGGTGAAACCCCGTCTCTACTAAAAAAATACAAAAAAAATTAGCCGGGCGTGGTGGCGGGTACCTGTAGTCCCAGCTGCTTGGGAGGCTGAGGCAGGAGAATGGTATGAACCCAGGAGGTGGAGCTTGCAGCGAGCCGAGATTGCGCCACTGCACTCCAGCCTGGGCGACAGAGCGAGACTCCATCTCCAAAAAAAAAAAAAAAAAAAAAAAGTTTAGGATCCTACCATTTCAGGGGGTTGTGTTCCCACCCATGATTTTCCCAATGAGAAATGAAGTATCAGCCGGGTGTAATGGCTCACACCTGTAATCCCAGCACTTTGGGAGGCTGAGGTGGGTGGATCGTTGGCAAGGCTGAGGTGGGTGGATCACCTTAGGTCAGGAGTTCCAGACCAGCCTGGCCAACATGGAAAAACTCCATCTCTACTAAAAATACAAAAACTAGCTGGGTGTGGTGGTGCCCCCCTGTAATCCCAGCTGCTCAGAAGGCTGAGGCAGCAGAATCGCTTGAACCCAGGAGGTGGAGGTTGCAGTGAGCTGAGATCACTCCATTGCACTCCAGCTTGGGCAACAAGGATGAAACTCCGCCTCATTAAAAAACAAAACCAAACAAACAAACAAAAAACTTCATTATAAAACCCACATTTTAATTTTTAAAAAGAAATCTATTATAGGACCCCATGTGTGTTTCTCCATGAAGCCACAGTTTTATAGATTCACAATTCCAAATACATTTTTCTGTGGTGATGCTGTGTGAATGTTATTTAGATGTAACCACAGTGTGACATTACAAAGTCACTAACACTGTGGGTGTTGCCCATTGAATTTGAGCCAATAATTTTTCTTGGTCTTCTTACCTGGCATTGCCTATCTAAAAGTAAAATATTGAAAATAGCAGTAGCGTCAGCACTATAAACCAGGAATGTTGGCTCTTCAGCTACTGAAAATTCTTTTTTTTTCTTTTTTGAGACGGAGTTTCACTCTTGTCGCCCAGGCTGGTGTGCAACGGTACGATCTCGGCTCACTGCAACCTCTGCCTCCCGGGTTCAAGTGATCCTCCTGCCTCAGCCTCCTGAGTAGCTGGGATTACAGTCACCCGCCACCACAGCCAGCTGACTTTTTTGTATTTTTAGTAGAGACGGGGTTTTACCATGTTGGCCGGGCTGGTCTCGAACTCCTGACCTCAGGTGATCCACCTCGCCTCAGCCTCCCAAAGTGCTAGGATAACAGGCATGAACCACTGCGCCCGGCCAGCTATTGGAAATTCTAATTGATGTCAACATAATAGTACACTATAATTTTTGGTTTTAACATTTAAAAAACCTCAGAGAGTACTGAGTTAATCTTTTAAACATAAATTCAGATTTTCCCCATCAAATGAGAGGATGAATTTCTTTGAGTTTGATAAGCAAATGAGTAAAACCCTATTTTCCGAATCTGATTTCTTTCAGAATATACCTGGAACACAAAAACTGGTCGGGGGCAGTTTTCAGGACGTACTTACAATCCTACAGCAAAAAACCTAAATATTGTGAACCGTGCACAGCCCATTCCCTCCGTGCACGGGAGGACAGACTGGGTGGCCAAATATGGAGGCCACCGGTAGGAGTCTGTGGTGTGAAACCCCACAGCATTGCTCCGTAGAGTACGTGCAAGTTCCTTGACCCTGGGAAATGTCTACAGATGTCTATTTCTACTGAGTTCTGGAAGAAATATGCAAAAGTGGGCACTTGGAAGAGCAAAAATCATCCCCTATTTTATTTATTTCCAAGAAATGCATTTTCTTAGAATCATTGCCCACAGTGTTGATATATGGGTAGGATGTTACAAAGTATTGAATAAACTATTTGCCAAAGTATGAAGTATTTGATCTACAATTTAGTAAATCCAATAAGAACCCTTAAAAAAAAAAAAACTTCCAGAAAATGTTTAGTGTGTTTTAGTTTTCATTTGTTGTATGTGCCCAAATGGTTTAGTAGTTCTTCACTTTGCTGTGATTGGCTCAAGAGGTTTGTCTTTTGTTTTTGTACAGCAGTTGGGCCAACCTCTGCTGGCTGTCAGCTGTGGTTCTTATTTGGCTAAGGCTCTGCGCTGCCATTTTGTCAGTGACAGAAAGATTGCAATTATTTGTTTTTCTTCTTTGAAGCTATGGGAGCGATGGTAAGTTCAATCTTGAGCAGGATGTCTTTTTTTTTTTTTTTTTAATGAGGCAATGTTTCACTGTTGTCCAAGCTGGAGTGTAGTGGCACCATCTTAGCCTACTGCAACCTCCACCTCCTGGGTTCAAGTGATTTTCCTGCCTCAGTGTCCCAAGTAGCTGGGATTAGAGGCGTGCACCACCACGCCCAGCTAATTTTTGTAGTATTAGGAGAGACAGGGTTTCACCATGTTGGTCAGGCTCAGGCTGGTCTCGAACTCCTGACCTCAGGTGATCCACCTGCCTCGGCCTCCCAAAGTGTGGAGATTACAGGTGTGAGCCACAGTGCCCAGCCATTTTTTTTTTTTTTTTTTTTTTTAGAAATAAATGTATCTTTAACATAGAGAGTATCAAAGTTATGCCACCTGGTTTTAGTAGACCGCCTGTATTTTGATCTTGACAGTACAGCTCCTATGAATTCAAGGTGACTGTCAAACCCGATGGCTTGATGACTTTGATATTAACCAAGTCAAGGTTCTCTTGGTTTGACATCATTAAGAAAGTTTTGGAAACTGTGTTTGATGCTGGTTCATTGGACTCTTCAAACTGCTTTGTTTCTGTGTCCCTACCAGACTTAAAGGTGAAGCGTGCCAGCTGGTTCCCCCAAGCCAACTCATGCTGCTGACCGTTGACTCAGCTCTGACATTCACATTTGCTCTAAAGCAAGTGTGTTCAGCTGCTGGGGCAGTGATATCACATAGTACACATATTATGTTCTTAGTTTATTTCCAAACTGGTATTTTAAATAGACACTTCGAACTTTGGGCTACTCTGTTTAAACTTGCCACTTTCTGGGCTGGACCTTAGTACTGTAAATTCTTTTTAAAGAATAATAATGTTATCAACTACTGAGATTTTTATGTATTTTGTGACTTTGTAACAACTGCTATTGTAATAGGTGTCATCTTGTGGGCATTATCCAAGGCATATTGTAAAATAATAATGATGATATTTTTGTATAGAAGATTCAACTGTTCAGATGTAAAATGCTGAAAAATGTTAAAATCTAAAGAGTAATTTATCCTAGGGGTAATGGTTATATGTATTTGTACAGTTTAATGTCTCAAAGCTGTGTAGTCTTTTGTGTTACTGGGAAACTTTTAAACTCTGAATAGACATTAAAATAAATATGGTTAACTAGTGTGTTTTCATTATGTTTTTAAATCTTATATCCTGAATTCTATTTGTTGTTGTTTTAATTAGTAGTCTTTAAAAAAAGCAGTTTTAGGGCCGGGCAAAGTGGCTCACACCTGTAATCCCAGAACTTTGGGAGGCCTAGGCGGGTGGATCACTTGAGGTCAAGAGTTCAAGACCAGCCTGGCCAAGATGGCGAAACCCCGTCTCTACTAAAAATACACAAAAATTAGCCGGGCACGGTGGTGGGCACCTATAATCCCAGCTATTTGGGCGGCTAAGGTAGGAGAATTGCTTGAACCTGGGAGGCAGAGGTTGCAGTGCACTGAGATCGTGCCACTACACTCCAGCCTGGGCGACAGAGCGAGACTCTGTCTCAAAAAAAAAAAAAAAAGCCATTTTATATTTATGAAAATATTGATCAGAAAGTAGAGTTCCCATATGCCTCTTCGTCTCCTCCTCCCTGATTTTCCCTATTATCAACATCTTGCATTCATGTAGATAATTCATTACAACCGATAAGCCAGTATTGATACATTGTTATTAAAGTCCATAGTTTATAATAGGGTTCACTCGTGTTGTACTCTATGGGTTTTGACAAAATGTATAAGGATATGTATCCACCATTATAATATAAGAATCGTTTTACTCCCTCAAAATCCTGTCATCTCCCTATTCATCCTTCCCTATCTTGCCCTGAACCTCTGGCCACCATTGACCTTGTTACTATCTCCACAGTTTTTCTTTTTCCAGAATTACCTGGGGTCAGAAGTTCGAGACCAGCCTGGCCAACATGATGAAACCCCATCTCTACTAATAATACAAAAACATTAGCTGGCCGTGGTGGTGCATGCCTGTAATCCCAGCTACTTGGGAGGCTGAGACAGGAGAATTGCTTGAACCTGGGAAGTGGAGGTTGCAGTGAGCCAAGATTGTGCCATTGCACACCAGCCTGGGCAACAAGAAACTCGATCTCCAAAAATAAATAAATAAAATAAATAAATAAAATAATAAAAGAAACTGCCAAACCGTCCTCCAAAGTATCTGTACCATTTTGTATTTCCCGCAGCAATGAATGAGAGCTCCTGCTGCTCCACATCTACACCAGTGTTTGGTGGCATCAGTGTTTTGGATTTTGGTCATTATAATAGATGTGTAGTGGCATCTCACTGCTATTATGCTTTGCACACTCTAATGACATGACGTTGAGCACCTTTTCATATGCATTACCATCTGTCTATATTCTTGGGTGAGGTATCTGTTCAGATCCTTTGTCTACTTTTAAATTGGGTTATTTTCTTGACTACTGAGTTTTAAGAGTTTGTCTATTTTGGATAACATTCCTTTATCAGATATGTCTTTGGCAAATATTTTATCCCAATCTGTGGGTTGTCTTTTCTTTCTCTTGACAATGTCTTTCAAAGAGCAGGAGTTTTTAAATTTAATGCAGCCTAACTTAATTTTTTCTTGCATAAATTGTGCTTATCATGTCATATCTAAAAAGGTATCACCAAACCCAAGGTCATTTATGATTTTATCCTGTTATTTTCTGTGAAGTTTAAAAAAAAAAAACAAAAAAACATTTTTTAGAGATGGGGGTCTCACTGTGTTGTCCAGGTTGGAGTGCAGTGGCACAATCATAGCTCACTGGGCTCAAGCTTCCTCCCCTCCTCAGCCTTCCAAGTAGCTGGGACTGCAGGCGTGTACCACCACAACCAGCTAATAGGAGTTTTATAATTTGCATTTTAAATTTAGATCCGTGATCCAAAGTCAGTTTTTATGAAAGATGTAAGTTCTGTATCTTGAGGTTTTTTTCATGTTAATGTCCTGTCATTCCAGCAGTTGCTTTTTTGTTTTTTTGGTTTTTTTGAGACAGAGTCTCACTCTGACACCCAGGCTGGAGTGCAGTGGCATGATCTCGGCTCAGTGCAGCCTCCACCTCCCAGGTTCAAGCGATTTTCCTGCCCCAGCCTCCTGAGTAGCTGGGATTACAGGTGCCCACCACCATGCCTGGCTAATTTTTGTATTTTTGGTAGAGATGGGGTTTCACCATATTGACCAGTCTGGTCTGGAACTCCTGACCTCAAGTGATCCACCCACCTTGGCCTTCCAAAGTGCTGGGATTACAGGCATGAGCCACTGCGCCGGCACATTTGTTGAAAAGTCTACCTTTTTTCTTCATTGACTTGCCTCTGCTCCCTTTGTTAAAGATCATTTGACTGTATTTATGTGGGTCTTTTTCTGGGTCCTCTATTCTGTTCCAGATCTATTTGTCTATTCTTTCCCAATACCACACTGTCTTATTAATTTAGCTTTATAAGTTTTGAAGTTGAGTAATGTTAGTCCTCCAATTTGTCTCTCTCCTTCAATATATTATGTTGACTATTAGGGTCTTTTACCCCTCCATATAAACTCTAAAATCAGACTGTCGATATCCACAAAGTAACTTACTGGGATTTTGATTGGGATTACACTGAATCTAGATCAAGCTGGGGAGAACTGATATCTTCTTTGACTTCTTTCATTGGTTTTGTAGTTTTTCTCATATAGATCTTGTACATATTTTGTTAGATTTATAGCTAAATATGTGAGTTTTTTGGTGCTAATGTAAATTATACTGTAATTTTTTCTTCCCCCCAATACTGTATTTTTAATTTCAAACTTCAATTCTTCATCGCTGGTATATAAGAAAGCAAATGACTCATATATTAACCTTATATCCTCATACCTGCTATAATCACTTATTAGTTCCAGGAGTTTCTTTGTTGATTCTTTGGGACTTTGCACAGACAATCATGTCATCTGCAAGCAAAACAGTTTTATTTATTCCTTCCTAATCAGTATACCTTTTACTTGCTTTTATTGTCTTATTGCATTAGCTAGGACTTCCAGTATAGCACTGGAGTGGTGAGAGTAGATAGCCTTACTTTGTCCTGGTTTTAGCAGGGAAAACATCTAATTTCTCCCCTTATTAAGTATGATGTTAGCTGTAGGGGTTTTTAAATAGATATGCTTAAGTTTGAGAAAGCTCCTCTTTCCAGTTTTCTGGGAGTTTGTGTTATACATGGATGTTGGATTTTGTCATGGATGTCCATTTTCTGCATTTATTGATGTGCTCATGTGATTTTTCCTCATCGGCCTGTGAATGTGATGTTTACATTAATTGATTTTCAAATCTTGCAACTCAGCCTTGCATGTAAATCCCACTGGATTGTGGTGTATTATTCCTTTTCTATATTGTTTGACTTGATTTGCTGATACTTTAGAGGCTTTTTCATTTCTGTTTGTGTGTGTGTGTCTGTGTGTGTATTTAGAGAGAGAGAATGTGCCTAATGCTAACAACAGGTGAATCAGTGAGACTAGGCGAAGGGTATGTGGCTGCTCCTGAAGATTACTGAAACTTTCCTGTAGATATGAAAATGTTCAAATAAAATATTAAAACAACATAAATATATAAAGCAAAGATTTATAAATATAGAAAGAAATGATCAGAGTGGGAGGTTTTTCTCAGAAAAAAATATCTAGAGACCTAAGATAAGTAAAGAAATACTTAATAACACAGTAAACTAAGTTTTTCAAAAGTATACCATATAGAACTTTGACCAACAAGGAAAATCTTCACATTCTTCTTAAATACATGTAACATTCACAAAAAATGTAACCCTATTGTTAGGCCGCAAAAAAAATCTTAAATTCTCAAATGTAGAAATATGCAAGCCACAATCTCTTTCTACAGTGTAATAAAATTGGAATATCACAAAAAGTCATGGCCCCCAAATCTATCCACTTAAAAATTCCAAAATATTGTTCTAAATAAATGTTTCAAAAAGGAAGTATCAACATTGAAATGAAAAGCCTTTTAGAAATGGACAATAATATACCTCTATATTAACAGGTATAACATCCAGCCAAAACAGATCTCAGAAAAAAATTATGCGCATGGTTTATTTGTGAAAGAAGCGAGCATGGAAAATATGCTGAATTTGAGCATTTAATGTAGGAAGCTAGAAAAAGAGTAACAATGTAAAAAAATGTTTTTAAGTAGATTTCAGCCCAGTAGCAACAAGATACCTAGTACTCAGATACTGGTTTCCAATACCACTGTTCAATAAAAGGAACCAGGGCTACTTGGAGAAATGGCTGATTCTAGTACTAGGACAGGAAATATACAAGATGAGTCTAGAACGTCTTGTAGTGCCAGACAATAAGGAAGTTCTACAAACACACAAACCAGCCCAATAAGGAAGTTCTACAAACATACAAACCCTTTGGCTATGCCAAAGGGACACAGAGGTCAACTGAGTTTCCAATGGCCAAAGCTGCAACAATTTGAGCAAGAAAATAAGAATTACAACCCCAAGAAGAAAGAACTATCCATGAGTCCATACTAAGATGAATGCATGAATGGCCAAGTGCAGTGGTGACTCACGCTTATAACCCCAGCACTTTGAGAGGCCGAGCTGGGTAGATCACCTGAGGTCAGGAGGTTGAGACCAGCCTGGGCAACATGGTGAAACACCAGCTCTGCTAAAAATACAAAATTAGCCGGGTATGGTGGCACACGCCTGTAGTCCCAGCTACTAGGGAGGCTGAGACAGGAGAATCACTTGAACCCAGTAGGTAGAGGCTGCAGTGAGCCCAGATTGTGCCACAGCACTCCAGCCTGGGCGAGAGGTCCCAGGCAAGAGGTCCCGACCTGAGGTCGGGAGTTCGAGACCAGCCTCGCCAACATGGAGAAACCCTGTCTCTACTAAAAATACAAAATTTGCCGGGCGTGGTGGCACATGCCTTTAATCCCAGCTGCTCGGGAGGCTGAGGCAGGAGAATCGCTTGAACCTGGGAGACAGAGGTTGTGGTGAGCCGAGATCGCACCATTGCACTCCAGCCTGGGTGACTAAGCGAGACTCTATCTCAAACAAAAGAGTAATAATGTGAAGTGCTTTCCATAGACACAAAATCTTGTAACAGCCCAATGGGTTCCCTTTGCCCTTTGCCTAGA